TTTTGGTAGCAACAACAACCATAATAATAATAATTATTATTTTTTTTTATTATAACTATTGCTGTTATTATTTGTTAAAACAAAAAAATATGTTTGACAATATGTGGAAGACTTAATTACTTGATTTTTTCATCTGGCCACTATAATTACCACCACCGCTTCAGAGAGAGAGAAAAAAGAATGTAATAAAAAATGAAGAGAGAGAGAGAGAGAGAGAGAGAGAGAGTATAAAAGAAAGTAAGATAGAAAAAAAAGAAAGGGAAAGAAGAGAAAAAAAGAAAAAAAAGATTGTAAAAGAGAGAAATAAAGAGAGAGAAAGAGAAAAAGAAAAAGAGAAAGAGTGAGTGAGAGAGACAGAAAAAAAGAAAATTAAAAAAATGAAAGAAAAACCCGGAGAGTAGTATGAACTGAATACACTGACTCTTAATTAAGTTTTGTTGTTGTTGCTATAATTATTATTATTATTGTTAACGAATAAATGAATGAAAAATAGAATGATTGAAAGATAGGACAAATTGATGAGAAAATCAATAACTTGTGGAATCACTGTCTGATTGGTTGGATGGATGACTGGATGAATGAACTATAAGTCAGACATTGATAAAAGGAATGAATGAAAGAATGAATGAATGAATGAATGAATGAATGAATGAATGAATTAATGAATGAATTAATGAATGAATGAATGAATGAATGAATGAATGAATGAATACATGAATACATGAATGAACAAACGAATAAATAAATAAACCATATCACCACCGCTATCATCATCATCATTCTTACTATTGTCAATCATCAAATAGAGAAAAAGTGAATCGAACCTAATTCGACCTCTTTGCATTCCAAACAATGAATTCATTTATTTAAAAATTTGCTTAATTAAAATAATAATAATGATAATAATAATAATAAAATTAACAAGAACAATAATTTGAAGTAGAAATAACAAAAATGCTTGTCTGTGTAATTAAGTCGAGATCCAAACAAACAAGACGATGATGATGACGATGGGGATTGTGATGGCGATGGTGATGATGAAGATGACGACGACGATGATATGAGGTGATAATGATGACGATAATGACGACGATGATGATGATAGCGATATTGATATAAGATGATGAATATATAAATGATGACGATGAAGAAGATGGTGATGATGATGATGATGATGATGATGATGATGATTGTACTGATGATGACGATAATGCTAATAAAAATGTGGATAATGATCATGATGATAGTAATTTCGGTGACGTCACTATTTTCAGGATGATGTGAAAGTTTGGGAAAAACCCTCTCCAGATTGGGATGGAATGCTGTTAGTTTCAGTTTCGTTTTCTATTATCATTTTAATTACATTAAAATAAAACTAATGCTGACAAAAAAGGTGATTGGGGGAACTGACGACGAATTTGTAAGATTAATAATTGGGTTGACTATGATGATTATGTTGATGATGAAAAACAAAAAATACTGATCCTGATAATCATAGTAATATTAATAGAATTAATCATAAAATAATATTATTACTTCAATTTTTATTATTTAATTTTTTTTTATTACGCAATAAATCCAGATAGATTTAACAGTTGCACATAAGAACGCCATTAATAAACGAAAAAAAATTTTATCACTGTAACAGCAAATATTCCCGCCTGTTTTTTTTAAATTCGCGCTTTTTATATTAATAATATTTTTTTCATATTTTCTTTAATATTTATTTATTTGTTTATTTATTTATTTATTCTTAGTCTTCATCTTCTTCTTCTTACTTTCTTTAAAAATATTATTATTATTGAATTCTTAGGAAACTTCCGTGATGTTCTTATTGAAAGTTATTGTAGATTTTCATTGGTTTGTTGTTGCTGTTGTTGTTGTTTTTGTTGTTGCTTTGTTGATCTGTTATAATATATCTTTGGTGTTTTCTTGCTGGCGTTTTGTATGCAATTTGAGGATCATACGCTGTGACGTATCGTAAACGTCATCATAGCAGCACAACATCACATTCACCTCTAGGAACACCTGTATTTAAAAAGAAATTTGTCGGAAATTTGATTTCGTTTGAAAGATCAGAAAATTTTGTTTGTTTGTTTTTGTTTGTTCGTTCATTCGTTTGTTCGTTCGTTCGTTCGTTCATTTGTTCGTTCGTTTTTTTTCGTGATAACGTGAATTATTTTGACGTTGATGCATTCCATATTAAATTTCTTTGTGTACTTATCTGCAGGTGATTTAAGAAATGCGTGTATGTGCGTGTGTGTGCGTGCGTGTACGAGTGCGTATGTGTATGTGGTGTGTGTGTATGTGAGCGTGTATGTGTGTGTGTGTGTGTACATGTGCGTGTATGTGGTGTATGCGTGATTGTGTGCGTGTATGTGTATGTGGTGTGTGTGTGTGTATGTGAAGTTTGTGAAATTTGTGTGTGAAGTGTGTATGTATTTTTTATACATATATGTAAATATGTTTGTCTGATGTTGATGCAGACGTATTGAAAATAAATGATTTTCTATGCTACAAATTGATTTAAACATTTTTATGTCCTTATTATTTTTCAACTTTTGTAGATGTGTATGTGCGTGCGTGTGTATGTGTATGAGTGTGAGGTGTGTGTGGTGTGTGTGTGTGTGTGTGTGTACAGTGCGCGTACGTACATCAATGGATGTCTGGGTTTGTGTTTGCAAATCGATGCCAAGTGTTATATGAATTGAATTGTTTGTTTGCATCTAGAGATCTCCCGCTCGTCATCATCTTCTTCGTCATCGTCATCGTCATTACCACATCGTCGTCATCATCGTCGTCGCTGTCGCCATCATCGTTATAATTATCGCAGTCTTATTTCCGGGTAATACTGTAAAATCAATTTTAATTATCATTGTCAGAGGTGTACCGAATAGTTAATTTAGCTATAGGTCGAGTAGCCGAATAGCATTTGATTAACTATTCGACCGAAGCCGAAGGTCAAATACCAGAAAGCCGAAATTTTGAATAAAATTTATCTTTTAAATTTAAAAATGAGAAGCTACTGCGAAAATTTTCAACTCCATCCAATTTTTTTCATTGATATAACATTCATTCATTCAGCCATGACGGTCGAAATAAGTTTCCCGCTAATAATAAATTAACAATATCTGTTTTAAAAGCAAAAAATAATGTCGGGTAGAACGGGAACTGCCACCTCTCCACATATTCCACCTTCAAAAATGGCCAATGCAAAAGCCGAACTTCAAATTTTGTCTCTATGAATAGTAATTGAAGAACTGAGTTGACCATTAAAATCAAATTCCTTAATTATGTCTGCCATCTTCGCCTTCCTTACCGTCATGGTCATTTCAAACTTAGTAAATAATAAGTAATCATTTTACTATTGACTCGTATCATAGTTTAATAAAATTTTATGAAATAATTAATGTATAAATCGTCATTTCAAAAATGAAAATACTGTATAAAACCGCCACAAAATCCCACGAAACCATTTCAATCTAACCCAGGTACAAAGTGGAGGGCAACTTCAACGCCTCACCTGACCTAGTTTTCAAATATGTTGACCCAGTTCCGTCAGGTCCCAGGAGCAGATGGGATCACGCAATCAAGGAACTCCAGGAAGTTGAGAGATTTAATCCGGTGGGTAGTGGGTGGGTTGGTTAGTTGATGGATTGGATGGTGGTTGGTTAGTTAGCTGGCTGGTTGGTTGGTTGGTTGGTTAGCTGGCTGGTCGGTTGGTTGGCTGGCTGTCTGGCTGGTTGGTTGGTTGGCTGGCTGGCTGGCTGGTTGGTTTGATTGGTAGATATCATCATCATCGTCGTCGTCCTCATCATCATCATCATCGTTATCTTCATCGTTATCAGGACTTAGCAGTGATAAGGACGATAACAAAGAATGCCTTCGGTGGTCTCATCTCGCCACGTGACTTCACTGACCTCGTCGTCAATGTCAAGAACGACAAATATTTATCAACTAATGGTGTGATGAGAATTATTATTATTATATATTATTAGTATTATTATTATTGTTATTATTAAGAACAAAATATAATTATTTCTATCATTTTAGTTATTTATCATCATCATCTTTATTATCATCGTCATCAACATGGTCGTCATCATCATTCTCATCACCATCGACCTCGTCAAACTCAAATCATCATCATTTCCATCTCCATCATTCCCATCTCCATCCTCATCATCATCACTATAATCATCATCAGCAGCAGCACTCTAATCATCACGTTATCATCATCATTACCATCATCATCATCATCATTAGTACACTGAGTGCAAAAAGTTAACACACGTTTGAGTAACATGATAGAAGTCAATTTATCACTCTGCCTATTATTGTCTGCTTGTAAAATCTTCTGGTTATCCTATCATCATCCTCATCATTACCATCATTACCACATTTTTTTTCACCATCATCACCATCGTTCAGATCATCATCTTCGTTGTCATCATTGCCGGCAAATAAATAAGTGAACAAATTACTATCATAATCATTATCACTATCATTATCTCATCATCAGCATTATCATCGTTTTTACCATCATCATCATCATCATCACCGTCATCATCATCATCATTGCCACCATCATCTTCACTATCATCATCGCCACCACCATCATCGCCATTGTCACATTTCCACCATCATCATTTTCATCCTCATCATCATCATCGTGATCAGCTCAGGGTGTGCAGCACCCATCCTGTCCAGCCTGCAGTGACTTTGTGCGTGGGACCAACCACCCGTGTGCCATCATCTGCTACCGAGTCCCTGGGTATGATGATGATAATGACGATGATGATGAAGATGATGGTGATATGGCGACGATGATGATGACGATGATGATGGTGATACGGCGTTGGGGATAATGATAGTGATAACGACAATTGGTGATCTGAGCTATATTGAGTCTCGTAATTTTCATAAATATTCATTGATGATATAGTTTGTAATGATTATGAAGGTGATGATACTGATAAAATGATGACAGAACTGACAATGATGAAAGACTTGACATTATAACATAGATGCTAAGAACATAGTGAATTATGTTTATGTGACCTTTTAACGACGTCTTTACGATGAGGACGATGATGATGATGATGATGATGATGATGATGAATGATGATGATGATGATGAATGATGATGATGATGATAAGAATTGGAGTGAAAAATAGCAAGAATTATGATAAAATTTGTGATAAAAAATGAATAAATTAATTACAAAGCGACGCGATGGTGTAGCGGTAGAGTGCTTGCGGCTTCTACAGCAGCGACCGAGTTCGACTTTATTGTTTCACGTGCATTTAACATGCACTGTTTGTTCGCTGCTGAAAGGCCTCCGAGAAGTATTAAAGAGAAAATTGTAGTAAATCATCATCAAATTATAAATAAAAATTGTCATGAAAATGATGATGACGTCATTTTTAAGGGGTGTATTAAAAATAAATAAAATGGTGATAAAAATTGTGATAAGGAATGAATTAACGTTACAAAGATTGGGATAGCAGGTGATTGGGACGATGATAAGGATTGGGATAAGAACTTTAGAACATGATGATAATTTTTGAGATGAAAATGAGTATGATGGTTGGTGATATTAATAAGAACTGTGATAATGAAGTGAAGAAAAAAAAAATCATCGAAATTGTGACACAAGATAATTATAACGATGATAATTATACTATCAATGATTTTGACAAAAAGCATGACGTCAAATTTACGTCATTTCATCAAGCTTGTTTGATTTCCTCTCGTCAAAACGTTTGACATCATCAGGACAATACGTAATTACGTTCTATCATTTCATGCACCGCACTCTTCTCTATACCTGTTGTTTCCAATATTATTGTTATTATTCTTTTTATTGTTATTATTGTTGTTATTGTTATTATTTATATTATTATTAGTAGTAGTAGTAGTAGTGATGATAGTAGTAGTAGTAGAAGTAGTAGTAGTAGTAGTGGTAGCAGTGTTATTATTATTAGTAGTAGTAGTGGTAGTAGTAGTAGTAGTAATAGTAGTAGTAGTAGAAATAATCGATTGTTTTGTTATTAAATGTGATGTTAAGCTTTTCTGCATTTAGTAGGAATAAAAAAAAAATAAATAAATAATAATAATAATAAGAAGTGTTATTATTATTACTACTATTATTATTATTATTATTATTCCATCATCAATCATTGTATTAGCGCAATGCATATTTGTTCCGGGATTATCATTGTGTTCTGTTCTTAATTATCCTGTCAATGCTGGAGAGGATGATGATATCTTCATCACCATCACCTAATCATATCAAAATACCTGTCTGTCTGTCTGTTTGTGTAAATTTGTCTGTCTCTCTGTCTGTCTGTTTGTCTGGATGGGCTAATATTTTTCTGTAAATTTGTTATTGTAGGTCTGGAATGAGTTTGCTAATAAAAAAACGTGTGATTTTGTATGTGTGCCTATGCTTTATATATAAGCATGCATAGTTCAATTCTGAAGAAGCCATGCTCAGACCATTCCCATCAGCCTTCACAACTTGAGACCTGTCTGCTAGGTAGGGCTGGAACCGCCTGAGAACATCTCCACCAATACCAAATGAAGTAGAAAGACGCTTCAATAGAATCTGGTGGTCGAGTGTGTCGAAAGCAGCACTTACATCGAGAAGTGCCAGCGATGATATGTTACCAGCATCAATGGCGTCACAGACGTCTGAAAACGTCTCAGTTATATAAAAATATATATATAGAGAGAGAGGGAGAGAGAGAGAGAGAGAATATATATAATTCTGTGTGTGTTTGCGGGTGTGGTGTTTTGTATTATGTGTACTTGTATTGTTTAACTTTTTTTTTGTATCGTACGTTATTGTGTATTTGAGTTTTGTGTTAAAGTGGATGTACGTGTTTGCGTGATCAACTAAATTGTTTGAAATTTAACACGTGCACCAATTTTCATTAGGTGTATATTACTATTATTATATTATATTTGGCATTGTTTTATCTTTTGATCGCGCACAGCATGTGAGTGTGTATTGTATATCTATGAACTTTTTACTTGTTATAATTTTACGTTTATTATTTTTGTGTTTTTTTTATATAAGTATTCTCTCTGTCTTTGTCTCTCTCTTTCTCCCTCTCTCCCTCCTTCTCTCTCTCTTTCTCTCTCTCTCTCTTTATTTGTTTACGTTTGCGTGTTTGTACGTTTGCACATCTGTTTGTCGTTTAGTTATCATTCATTATGTTTCTTCGATATCTTTCGTTTTCTTGTGTTGGGTGCATTTTATGTTTTTCATTAATGAGCATATCAATGCTTATATGTTCATATATAGGTGTTTGTTTGCATGTGTGTATGTGTGGTATATATGTGTGTGTGTATGTTTGCGTGATTGTGTAAGTGCGTCCGTATGTTTTTTATGTAGTTAGAATGTTTGTATATTATTTTTGTTTGAGAGTGTTTGATGTTAATTGTCTTTTTGATGTATTCAAGTAAGAGAGATCGAGTTCACGCAAGTTTGCAATCACCATCCACATGTTTTAAGATCATTTTCTCAAGCGATATAATTTGCTTTTGATCATACATGTAACAATGTCTATGTACCTGTGCCTGGTGTAGATGTATGCATGTGTGACGCGTATGCAAGTGCATTCATGGCATATTGGATCAGTCCTCGTGTAAATTAAATATGATTGAAATGAAACAAAGTGGGAAACATACAAAAAGGAACCAACCATTTTGGTGGCTGAGTTGTAAAATAAAAACGTGTTTTATTTTTGATCATCGTCATCATCATTATCGTCTTCATCATTATCGTCATCATCATTATCGTCATCCTCATCATCTTCATCATCATTATCGTTATCATCATAGTTGTCTTCATTGTCTGAGGAAGCAATCCGACCTACAAACTTTTTTGAGTTCATTACGATATACACATCTCACCATCATATCTATCAGAAGTTACTTCACACCTTCCAACAAACCCAAGACAGACCAGACAGACAGACAAGCAGTTCTGTCTTGAATCAACCTTTTCAGAATATAACCAAATGCATATTTTATTACTTTAAAAAAACTTCAAATTGATTCACACATCACACGAGGTATTAATTTGCCGACATCTTCGACAGGGTAGATTTTGTTTCTTATTTGACGCCCTCTTATCGTTATTCAGATGTTGCGTGAATAAAATTTTTTTGTATTTAAAAATTGTTTTTTGGATGTTTGTAGGATGAGCTGTATGTTATATGTGCCAATAGTTTAACACCACAATGACATAATAGCGTCAACATAATTCGGATTATTTTTTGATTTCATTTTTTGATTAATTAGAATGCATAATTTTCCACTTCTTAATAACTTATTGATATTATTGTGAATACCAAGGGATAGATATTCCTCCATAGATATTGTTAGCGATGATGGTTAACAAAATGTTATCGTTAATATTGTAAAATATTAAACAATAAAAATAATATTCTTATCAATTCATTCGTCAAAGCAAAATATGAGTCCATTCTTCAATTGTTCAAATAGTCTATTTATCAATCTATTCATCCATTCATCTATATATCCTTCATTTATCTATCTATTCCTTCTTCTATCCATTCACGCATCTATCTAACCATTCATATATATATTTTTCTATCTATCTATTCATCTATCTAACAATTCATCTATCTAATCATTCATCTATCTAATCATTTATCTATCTAATCATTCATCTATCTAACCATACATCTATCTATCTATTCATCCATCTAGCCATTCATCTATCTAACCATTCATCCATCTAATCATTCATCTAGCTAACCTTTCGTCTATCTATCTATTCATATCTCTATCCATCTATTTCTTTATCCATCCATCCATCAAATAAACAACAGAGAGCCACAGAAAACGAGGGTAGTTAGTTACATCCAGACTGATCTGAGTGGCATGCTGCCAAAGACCCTGGTGGAAAATGCCCTGCCCTCCAACCAGGTGGACTTCTTCGTCACCCTCAAGAAAACATTGCAGGATGACGGGCACTGGATGAACTGATGACGATGGTGGTGACGATGTGGATGGTGATGACAACTACGTTGATGACAGCTGTGAAGATGATGGTGTTGGCGATGTGGATGGCGAGGAGGGCAATGACAATTATGATGATGACAATTATTATGATGACAGCTATGAAGATGATGATGACATTTGTGCTGACAAAATTGACGATGATTGTGATGAAGATGATGATGACATTTGGGGTAACAAAGCTGACGATGATGATAATAATGATAATTTTGATGATAAAAATGATGATGAAATCGGTTAGTATGATGCAGATAGTGATAATGGCTGCTGTGTTAATTAATATGCGGGTGATGATGCACGCAACGATAACGTTGTCTGGTGATAATGGGACTGATGGCAATCAAAATAACAGGATTTTGGTATTGTTGTTGATGTTAATTATAGAAATAATATGATAAGACTAAGACAACAATGAAATTATATGATAAAAAGCTGACAACAAAATTATGTTTGAGATAAGACGACGATGATAATAATGATGATAATAATGATCCTATTTATCAGATGTTTACAAATGAGTTATCTTTTAACTAGAAATTTTTGAATTTATGAACATCTTTGAAGGAATTTTTCTACCTTACTGTCTGTCTGGTTTTTCCACACTATTCTTTCATTCGTTTACAAATGTACACACAATTAGACAATAATTTTAATTAAGCATATAATTAAATGAATAAATAATTAGCTAAACATTTCTTTAAATGTATCATGAAAAAACTAGATATATTATGAATGTACATGCATTTAGCTGCAAATAAATTTTAAGCTTTCTTTTGAAGAAAGTTAAATTTAAAAAATCTCAAGAGATACATCTGAATCGAAAATGTTGATAAATTTTGGTGAATCAATTCAGATACGAAAATATTTGATTTTTCCATTTAAATTTCTTTTCATTTCTAATTATTATATTAAGTATTAGAATAATAATAATGAGAAATATTAAAAGATGAATAATAACATTGCTTTATTTTATTATCCCAATTTTTATAAAACAAAATTTGTAAAACATATCATAAAATTAATTTGTGAACTATTTCTCCGAAATCGATCGTTGATTTATGATGATAGCCACATGACTCAAATGTATTTGGATCGCTTTGTTAGTCCTCACATACTTAGTGCGTGTTCTGTGAAACTAGATACCAATCTTCTTGCGTCTGTACTATGTCTTTTTGTTTTCTTTTTTATGGCACGTTTCAATATTACAATTTGTAATAAACTCGATTGTAGTTTTAGTAGAAGAACATGTTTTAGGAAAAAACTAAGTCATATTTTAGTTAAAGTTTAAATTTAATTAACATAATTAGCATAGTTTTATTTCTGTATGTACTATCTAATGTTCAAAATGTTTTTAGAAATATATTTTCAAATATTAACGCTTAAACTGTTTGTATCAAAAACTTTACCATTGTTGAATTTAATAAAAGTTGTTTTATTTGTTGAAAAAAAATTAAATATGTCTTTAAATTAATTTTTCTGTACATACAAATTTTATTATTCAGTTTTTTCATCAGTGAAACATTTATAAAATTCTTACGTAATTGATATATAATCAATAAAGTTAATCAATTCATGTATTAGGTACATGTAAGAGAACAATCAAATAACGAAATCATTAAAACAGATTTCAATTTTGTTATGCAACAAATTGAAGTCAAATTAACAAATTCGCATTCCAGTGTGGAATTCTTTCACGATTTGATATCATTGAGACTGCTAGCTAACATATTCAACTCGGAGCGCACGTGCGTGCATTCCATCCCATGTGCTACAGGTGCTAATGAACATTCAACAACATTCCCATCTCATCTCTTACCTGGGTTGCCTGTGTCTATATGTCTATATTGAATTGAAAACAAATGTGTGCATGTATTTGCTTAATAGAATCGTCACCCTTTTCCATCGTCATCATTATAGGTGCATACCCTTATTTAACAAAAATAACAACAATTATCCTATCACCATCATTTTAAAGAAAAATATCTTCATCGATGATCTCATTTTTGTCATTAGTTACAAATAAATTATTCAAACTTGATTTAAAAACTATAGAAAGTGGAAAAAAATTAGGCATACGCGTGTAAATATTCACTCGTGGAACATCAGCAGCAACAACAGTAACAGTAATATTGTTAGCCAGTCACCACTAAAAACAAAAATGCCAGTAATTAACATCATCAACAATATCCGCAACAGCAAAATCATCCTCCTTATTTATATCATCAGCAGAGGCAACAGTGCCAACACAACCACATCAATAGCAACAACATTTGCAATATAAACAACAACAAACATCAATAGCATTCTTCAAAACTTTGTAAACCATCTCCCCATTGAATTAATTCAGTCTTGCAAAGATCATTCAAAGGTTAATGCGATGCAATCAATTGATATTCAAATACATTAGAATCAGATTTATCTGATGCAGAGCCATATGTATATCCACTTGTTTGTATGCCTGCATTTTATCTGTATAATACGCTTTATAACATTTGTGAGTTTGCACTAAGGCATTTCATAAGTAGGCATGTTTATTTATAACCAGAACTCTTTGCATAGCAAAGCGAAAGATTTCTAAGCATTGTATATTTCGGGCAGATAAAATAAGATAAAATAAATATTGGTAGAGTATTAGACGTTAATTATCGTAATATTACATAAATTTGTAAAAAAAACTTAAAAAACTAACTATTAATCACGATTTTTGATTTGAAAACAGTGGAGGAGCATTACAAGTTGTGAAGAAAATGTCTCGATGGTCAACGTCTGGGTTAAATGAAAATTACTCTAACAACCTCAACCAAAACATCAATAACAACATTAACAACAACCAATACAAAACATGGACCGATCATCCATACAGAACTCTTTCCTCATATTCCTCTTCCTCTTTCTCATCACAACAACAACAACAACAGCAACAACAACAAAAATACAAATCCCTCCCAAGAGCTTTGCAACCGAAAAAATTTTCAAGCGAGAAAGAGAGCTGGAAGAGGAGGTCATACGATTTAACAGGCACTTCCTATCTGGACAGATACACTTTGAAGCCATACAGAACGCACTCGAAGCCTCAGATATTTGAAAACTGCTACAATTTCAATGCAAATTTTCCTAGATCAAATTTTAAAGATTTTACTGATTTTAACAAATCTCCTGAATTTGCTTTTCCAGTTAGAGAAACAACATTTAGTAAGCTATTTAAGGAATTCGTTGGCGACGACGATTACTCAGCCGATGCAAAACTTAGAGAAGAAACAAAAAATTCTGACAACTTGAAACCAACACAACAGCAGCAAGAAACAAAAATAAAAGTCAAAAATGATGAAAATTCTGTCTATCAAACAGACGACCAGAAGTTGTTTCCAACCTTCTTCTCAACCTTTCGACACAAATCATCGAGTGGCCTACCATGCACTGGTGTACCCATCCACCTAGGAACCAGCACTCACTCTCTGCCTGAATCTTTTTCAAAGGTGGTCACAGACAGCCTGCATCCAACTATTTTGAACGCCTTCAACAAGACACAAGAGGATTTTATTCCGATTTTCGATTTCTATTCATCTACGAAATCATCCAACTCCAACCAAAACAACAGCAATGACGCGACCAGTTCTAAGCAATGGACAACAAAGAATGAAAAGGACGGTGAAGATCTGAGGAGATCCTTCGAAACTTTCAATTGTAATGACGATCATCATTTCTCTACACTTATTGATAGTCGAAACGGCAACAACAACAATATTAATATTAATAATATTTCAAAGTTGCGTGAACACAGCCACGTAACTAACAACCATCCAACTAATTATTACATATCCAGTGATGACGTCCTACTCAGAAATCCTCAACAAACGAGCAAAAATTATTTAAATGATTTTAAACATCACAGAACTTCTCTTAACGAAGAAATCTTTCGAAAACATGCTCGTGAAGCGAACAGTATGAAGGCTGACTGCGGTAAAAATTATGAAGCGCATAATAATTTCAAATTATATGACAAAAGTTTATACTTCAACAACAACCCTTACGTATTGAAAAGCGGCAACGTATGGACAATACGCGTCATACCTTACTCAAGCTCCCTGACAGCCACTGAATCATGTGGTCTTGCGTCAGGAGAGAATGATCAAATGGAAAAAAATGTCTTGAAGTCAAAACAACAATTCAATCAACAACGACCACAAAGAAACCATTATCAAGAAATGTATCAACAACCACATCCTCAAAAGTATCAGCAACATTCACTGATGCAAAAGAATCAGCAGCCACCTCAACAATACAAACAACAACAACAGCATCAACAACAACCACAACAACAGCAACAACAGCAACAGCAACAACAACAACAGCCACAACAACTTCAACAGCAGCAAAAACATCAACAGCCTTCTTGCCAACAACCAGCTCAACGACAATTACCGTATCTACCATCCCTACCACCAGAGACCCAGCCAATGAGAGTTGAGCGGGGAGAAATACTGCTGGTGAAGATTGTGAAGACGGAGCTGGGTGGTCTGGGTTTTTCCATCGGGGGTGGAAGGTTACCAAACGGGGGTGGCGGTCCGATATTCGTCCGCAGGATATTCGATAGTTTGTTTTAAAATCTTTTAAATTCTTTAAAATATTATTTATTTGTTTCAATTTGAATCAATTATTTTATTTGCTTGTTTGGCGTTAAATAATAATAATAATAATAAAATTTTAAATTTTAAGATTGAAGAACAAAATATAAATAACATGGGAATCTATCTATTGGTGATTATTCAGACGTATAAACACGGACTGGCACATAATTTTAGAATGTTAAATACTTTTAAACAAGCATCAGCATCATTAGCGTCACTCACAATCCTTCAACCAACCCACTCAGCCGAGAGCAGCCGCATTCGCACGAACAACCTGATTCAACCTGGAGATGAGGTCCTGACGATCGATGGCTGGTCCACCGCGGGAATGTCTCAGTACGAGGTCTGGAACAAGATGAAGGAGCTGAAGGACGGACCGACCAACCTTCTCATTCAGAGAAAGTTGTACCTATCAGAAACAATCGTCTGAATGTTTGTGCCATTTTCTAGATTCGTCTTTCAACCCAAAGATGCAAATGCAGAACAAAAATTGAGTGATACATTTTTGTGATAATTAATTGAGAATCGAAAATTATGTAATCGTTTATGAATAAATAATCTTTCAAACTTTCAAAATTCAGTTCATTTAACAATAACCTATCACGAATTATTTCGTTTTTAAATTTAGCCTAATCAGAAAAACATTAAAACAATGTGTTGGGTAGTTATTTATTTGACAAACGAACCCAATCTATGTTAATATGATCTATGAAAGGGTAAAAACAATATGGACCATGCACTGCGCACGTCAAATAGCATTCACTATCGTGTGCATTTCCTCAGTTATCTGAGCGACTTTGTAAAGTTGTGTGTCTCATTTAAACCATCTGATATGGAAAATATTATCAACGTCCCAAAAAGGGAATGCAAAAGATGTTATATCTGATATCTTGTATAAAAAGATATATAAATAAGATATAAGTATAAATTAATTAATAAATGTATTTGTCTATTTATTTCTGATTTTAACTATTTGTAAAATGCTACATGAAAATTGACGTCCATTTTTATTTTAGTCATGCTATCATAGTGTAGGTGGATAACTCCTGATCAATCCAATTTCACCATCATTCTGCACTGGGAAATTCCAAAATAAATTTTCTTTTTCGGGATATAGTATCTAAGGAGTATTGAAAAAATTAGACCAAGTTTTCAAGTTTTAGATGCAATTGCAATGATCTGTAGACGATTTATTACACACACACACACACAAACAAACACACACACAATATATATATATATATATATATATATATATATATATATATATATATATATATATGAGAAGATATAGAGGCACCTAAACTCATTTGGGAGTCCGTATCTGCCATTCAAATTGATGCTGTAACAGTTCTGAAACCACCAGCCACTTGCACTCACGTCAGCACATTCCCCGCCCTTCCAAGCATCGTTGTCCTTATCAAATGTAGAAAATTTCATGTCCTGCATGTCCAGCCCCCCCGCCGAACTCTTCGTTATGACGTCACCACTGTCACCGTAGTAGCCACCAACGTGCAGCTTGTAGCCTTCACCTTTGTGTGGGCGTGGAGTATTGGGTCGGGTGGGTTAGTTAAATTATCAGCGCAATCACGAAGCTTTAAAACAATTCCTTAAAACGATTTAAAATGATTTCACTCACGTATGAAGAAATAAACAATAATTCACAATTACCTTCCGACTGGACTTGGAAATCTTTGTAGTGATCTGACCTCCAGAGACCATCTGTCGTCAAAACTTCTATGCGAAGTGTCGGCTTGGTGGTTGTCAGCAAGTGCATCTTTTCTAATCCGAACCAAAAGTTCTCACTTATGTTACCGAACCCTTGACAATTTATTTTTAACAATTATTATCATTATTATCATCTTTACGTGATATCAGCACTGCGGTTTTAAAATTGTGAGTATTTTTGAACGTCAAAATTTTGTTAGAAAATAGTTGTTAGTCATTCAGGCAATCGATCGATACCGTTCTTATAAGTGATCCAGGCCTGATCGAATGTCAGCCCGCCATTCAGCCGCTGTTGGATGATTATCCACGCGTTGATAACCGCTGCTGGCTCTATGGTTGATTCTATCTTTACATTCTTAATTTCAACTGCGTACGTTGTTGCTGTTTTCAAAATTTTCATGCTAATGTTGTTTCATGAAAATACTTTGAAATGCTACAATTTGAAAAACAATTTTCATCCATTCAAAATGTCCTAACAAGAAATGATATTTGCCGAATACTTAAATTGACAATTTTAGAACCAAAATTCAAAAATATATACCTCGGACAGGTTAACACATTCACAAATAAAACTATTATCATGGTTGCCGTTTTCAAATTTTCATCATCATCATTGTCGTAATCATCATCAGCACCATAGTGACCACCATCTGAAACATCACCATCTTCACAAACACCCCCACCACCAGCTGACCATTGGTGGCATTACAGTTAACAAGGGTGACCCCATCAACCAAACAGACGGTGAAGTTGTTGCACGTAAGGCTGGCATTGTTTAACGTCAGCTTGGCACAGTTCCGATAGATGCAACCATCCAACGTGAATGGTATGGAACATTCTTTCCAGGAAACCATGCCTGTTGGTGCAACTGTGTGCGTGCAAGGTATTTTAAATGGAGGTGTGTAATGTCGATGTCTTTGTGTTTTGCTTAATTGCGTAAGGTTTTGGACTATTTGTTTCATAAAATTAATAATATGAAACAAAATTAAACAATGGAATGATAGAAAACATCGAATTTTTGTGCAGGCAGCGTTGGAAAAACATTTTCCATTCTCTTTCCAAAATTGATAGATGGATGGTGTTAAAATTATCAAGATGAAGAGTGGATGATTAATTTAATAACTAACCAACATCATTACAGTTGGAGACTCCATCTAATGTTACAGTGTATACAGGTTCATCTGATGATGATGATGACGACGACGAAGATGATGAGGATGATGATGAGGAGGAGGAAGAAGAATGAGGAGAAGGATGACGATGATGCTGACAATGACAACGAGAAAGATGATGATTGTAATAATGAATGATGATCACAACAACGATGATGATGGCGATTGTTGTAGGATAAAACTGGTGAAATAGATAAATTATCTCAACGATCATGATTTTGTAACTACCGTGATTGCTACAAATATTTCCAACGTTAAAGAAAATAATGAAATCAATTATTGCAATAAAACTAATTAATTTAATTAAAATTATTAACAAAAAATATTAAAGTGAAAAAAACTTACCTTCACTGGTTTTCACCTGCCAATCAAGTAAATCAACAACATTTCATTTTTCACGATTTTTCAATTGAAATTAATGAAAATGCAAAATTAATTTCAAAACTAATGAAAATGTAAAATCAATTTCAATTAATGTCTTGCCCCTTTTTTTCTAAACATTACGCAGCAGACATCTACTGCGTATGATACGCTTAGATTTTTCTTGCATTTGAACCCAGTCATTACGACGAAGAATCAGACTACTTTGCTCGTTACACTATTTCACAAATATTACAATGAATCATATTTGTAATTGTTTATTGATATTACTTTAAAATAGCATCTCTATCAACACTCAGATGAATGTTGAGATCAAACAACCTGATAGTTGAAGCACGTGAAGCTGAAGCCGCCACCACTTGAGCCAGTAGTGCTCGATCCGTAGGCCTGAAAGTAGTTTGGATGAAGAAGGAGGGGGTCCATCATGAGGCAACGTTTCTGCTGAGGCGAGTAGCTCACCAACTGACATGAAGAAGACTTGTAATTCATCTCTGCGCATAACTCGACACATTTGATCAGTGACCTGATCTGGTAAGCTTCAACGTTCATCGTTTGGTCAACTGCTTCTATGCACTGCTGGTAGCTGCTGTTGTTAGCGCTGCTGCTGTTGTTGTTGATGATGCTGTTGTTGTAGTTGTTGAGGTTACCGTTGTTGTTGCCATTCTCGTTGTTGTCGGTAGTGTTGCTGTTACCTGTCAATTCAGTTGCATCTTGTGGCATGTAAAATTTCATGAATTGCATATTGAACATCATCTGTTGCTGGCTGTCCTCTTCTTTCGAGAGACACACAAGTATCACGAATGCTGAGATGGTTACGAGGAATTTGAAATAGTTTCGCATATTGTATTAGTAAGATTGATGTTACAATGTGCAGAAATTAATATATCCTTTACTGGATACAGATGGATGGTTTGATTTGTGGCTAGATGACGAATTGTTTCTCAACTATAATTACTGAAATGAGCGGAGAAAAACTAGAGAGCAGATATGTTGAGATCTTTATAAGGCCAGCTTAAAAGCCAAGTCAATTATTATATATTTTCAAAAGGCTAAAACTTCCATATAGAACAATATTAATCTATTTAAAGCGCATACAATTTAAAAATCAATGAAATATTTGAAGACGTTGTTAATTTTAACAACAAATGCATGCTTTTATTCACTATATAAGTGATCTTTTAAAGATATTTTTGTGCAATAGAATGATCGCCTAGACATAATACTTTAATAATTTTTTATCATTTTTATTAAACCAAAAATAGAACGAGCAATAAATTGCATTGCATGCATGAATTCATCGCTAAGTTGCATTTAACGTCAAAGTTGAGCTGTAAAAGCAAGCAGGATCGATTTAGTTCTTTGAAGATCTTAGTTCAAATTTCAGGGCGATATTTATTATTAAAAATGATAGAATTAATTTTAATCTGATTTTTCTGTTTGGAATGCGGCTCTTGTTTGTTAAATTTTATTTAATTTTGAAGATGTTTCGATTAAAATTTATCAAAAAATAATAAATTAAAATTAAAAAGCCAATTATCGAAAACGGGCAAAATAAAATTATAAATTAGCGCTGGTTGTTATCGTCATCTGCTAAAAATTCTAAAAACAGTTCTCAAGAGAAATTAAAACTTTCTAATACGAAAGGCATTTGGTTTCTGGTACGTCAATTGTAAATTCTATAGTCGTTAATATCAGTCTCTTGTCAAATTATTTGTGCGACTTAGGTTTTTCAAAAAATTTCGACTCCGACAAAAGCTTCCAGCTCCGGATTCACTCCGACAGTCTGAAAATAAAGCAGCATTTCAGGCGTTCACATTTCAAATTTTATCAATTTCCACAAACAGAATTACTAATTATTTTGTTCTTAGCCGTTCAATGATACCTCTTAATTTCCATTCAGATGAAAAACTTTATATATGATTTATTTGTAATCATCGCTTAGTTACTTGCTAATATTTTATTTATTTTCTATTTTAACACATTAAAAAGCAATACACGATTCCTAAGATTATTTTAAATACTTCCAACTTTTACAAAATCAATTTCTTTGAAATACATAAATTTTGTGGCACGTCAACAGCATAAATGAGAGATCTTACAGTTCAAAACCTATTCAATTGTCTCAAATACAACATATTCTGATAAACTTATATTGTAAAATAAATTCATATACCGTATTAAAACATATCAGCATCAGTGGTGGAAATTCATAACAATGGTAAATTAAAACAAATATTGATTTGAGCAATTTGTGCAATTATGAACTACTGATTATAACATTAATTGTCTTTTTAGATTTAATTTAATAAAACAAATGTCTGTACCTAAGTGACAATTATAATTCAGTCACACGTTGGCGAATAACAAGGGATAGTGCATCAGCTAATAGAATTTTTTCAAAGAAACTGTAAAAAATATGATACACATTAGTTTCATAATAAATGCCAAAAATTAAATTTCTCTTCAAAACTCCAATGTTGGTCTTTTTAGTTACCCTGCTGTTCACCAATTCAGCCTCACCATCATTCGGCATTGTGATATTTCGGAATAAGATTTCGCCATGAAGATGTAATATCTGTGCATGCGTTTGAAGGAATGTATCTATCAATCTATCTTCATCCCAATTCATTCACGGTGGTTTTTTAATTTATAAACTGATCATATTTTGCATTATAGAAACTACTAAATTAGGAATAAAACAAAATTTAAAACAACAGAAAACTGTGCAGTACAGAAAATTTTTGTAAATAGTTGAAGACAAAAAATGGAAAACGAGATAACATGCAACCAGCTTGGAAAACGAAAAGTTTTACACGAATAGATCAAAGTGTAGAAACTAAAAATCTTCAGACATATTTGCTAAAACCAGGAAACTGTACTAATGCGGAGAAAATTAGATGAGAAAAGTCTGAAGATTTGTCAAACAATGGATGGATGAATAGACTGCGGATGGATCGTCGGACTTAATAAAAATAGCCAAGAGTAAAAAAAAAATTTGGAAATTGGTAAGGAAGATAAATGCCTTGGCCTTAACGGTTTCTTTAAAGGTAAAAAATAAAAACATAATAAAAACGCAGTACGTAATAATTTGTATACATTTTATTTTGCTAATTTTTAAATTAAAAAATCAATTTTTTTTATAAATGAACCAAATTCAACGTAAAAAATTCTTACCTAAATTCATTTTGGGTGCCCGTATCTGCCGTTCAGATTGATGCTGTAACAGTACTGAAACCACCATCCACTTGGGCTCGCGTCGGTGCATCTACCTAAAAAATACCGATCGTTGTCGAAATCGGAAATTGAAAACTTCATGTCTTGCATTGCCAAGAATGTGGGCCTTGTCGATGTTATGACGTCACCGTGGTCACCGAAGTATTTGCTGACGTGGAGTTTGTAACCATCACCCTTCAATTGTAGGATTCAATAAGTCAACTTAATAATCGGTGGCTACTAAAAGCGAAGTAAACGTTATTTTGTTCAAATTTGTCAAATGATGGCCAATAAGTCTAATAATTAGTGTAACATACCATTCACACCAATAACAAACTCAACAAATCAGCAAATGATCTTCTGCACTTACATTCGTTTTGAATTTCAAAATCTTGGTAGCTGTCTGCTCTCCAGATGCCATCTGCGGTCAAAACCTCCTCCAAGCGAAGAGTTGGCTTGTTGCTGGTCAGTTGGTACATCTTTTCAAGGCCAATCCAATAGTTCTCGTTTACGTATCCAAATCCTTACAAGCATATCACAACAATCTCATTATCGTTGTAGTTTTTCTCAAAATTTTAAATAGTTTATTAAGTTGATTGGTTTATCATAAATTGTTTTAATATGCAGACAGTGATATTATTAATGATGCAATAGCCAAAAAAGCCAAAATGTAAAAAACAGAACTAGTGGCGGAGCTAGACAACTTTGACGGGGGTCAAAAATTTGAAAATGGGGGGTCAAAATTTTCAAGGGGGTTGCCAAGATTTGTAGTAGTGTAGCTAACAACCTTTTTATTTGCTTAGAACGTTCAATTTTTGGTCGATTTTACCCATAAAACTGACCTTTTTCTCACTTCTATTAAAAACCTCTCAACTCCTTCCCCTCTTTAGATTTGCTACTGAACAGAACTAAGCTAAAAAAAAGTTTCAAATAAATTTTGAGTTTTTCACATTTTGATGATTTTTGGTTATTATGATGGCATTTGTTTTTTTGGAAACTATTGAAATTGGCTTATTGGAAATCAAAGTTAATCGTTGTTTTGATTTTTGCCAAAAATGTTTTCATTCATTCTTGGCCTTCCTTTCTTCTTCATCGTCGCCTCATTGAAGACTTAATAAAACTGGTACTGAATGAAACGACGAGGATGAGTGATATTAATTATTCATAGCATAGAACACGATGACAAAGAAACAGTCCAAAATATACACGCACTGGCCCACTAAGAAATGTAAATTTCTTATTCACTTAAGTGAATACCAACCGCTCTTATATGCACCCCACTTCTGTTCAAATGACAAACTTCCATCTATTCTCTGCTGTATGATTATCCAAGTGTTGATGACTGCAACTGGCCCAACGAGCTGGCTGTTCATTGTTAGGTTCTTCACTTCAACGGGGATTGTCGTTGCTGTGTTGTTGAGGTTTCAATGTGAATGGTTTTGAGATTCAGCATCAAATGGTGGTAATTTAGTTATGAGTAAAATAATAAATAAATTAATAAATGAAAAATAAAATCGTAGTAGCGTTTTCAACTTTTCACGTCAATTTTTGGTAATTTAAAAAAAATATTAATGTAATATATCATCATTATTATTATCATTATCATTAACTCTGTTATTAATGTTGGTTTATTAATACGTTGTAATTTTTATGCTGACAACATCACCACAAAATCACCATTATTTACAAACCTCGCCAGCTAACTACCAGCCACCTTACGACTCACCATTAGTGTTGTTACAAGCCGCCAACGTAATACCGTTCACCAGGCAGACGCTGCTGTTGTCGCATGTGACGCTTCCGTTCTTGAGAGTCAGTGGCGTGCAGTTGTAGTGCAGTCGACCATCGAGGGAGAATGGTATGGAGCAGTTGGTCCAGTGCACCAATCTCAAAGAAAGTACTGTTTCAGTTTGTGTGTATGTGTGTGTGTGTATGTGTGTGTGTGCGTATTTGCACATGTGTGTATTTAGAAATATGAAAAATATGTACGATTATGATTGATTATATGTTTGTTCGCTCATCTGTTCGTATGTAGACGCGCATGTGAAATGAACAGGAACACCTAGCACAAAAAACGTACATATGTCATTGCATGTAGATGCTCCATCTGTCACTGACGCTGAAGCGACCATGTTACCTGGTGTTGTTATAGTGTTCGTTTCGAGATAAATAATAATGAAAATTTCATAGATTATAACATGATATAATCATTAATAATGAACACAATTTTATTAACCTTCAATTCTTTTGATCTGAAAATTCAAATAAATTTTTTCAATATAATATATAGGGGACTTTAATGCTGAATCTACAAGACCTGATAGTTCAAACAAGAAAACCCGTCCTTGACGTCCTTCTTGGAGCATTTGCGGCATTCAATGTCTGGATGTAGTTCAAATCAAAGTTCAAAGGATCCATCATCACACACGTTTGTTTCTGGGGCGAGTAACTCATCAGCTGACAATCTAAATAACTATTTTGAAGTTCTCCGCACAGCTTGACACAATTTATCAGTGACCTGACCCGATTAACAACCATGTAATTGGCTGGGTCGGTGGTTTTAAGGCATGGCTGGCCAGTGTTGTTGCTACGATTTGATGGAGTTGCTTTTGAAGTATCCAGGTGCATGAAAAATTCCGTGAAAACCAAATTTTGCAAATCTTGTTGCTGATTTGTACATTGCAGTATGAAATACAGAAATGCTAAAATCTTCACGAGTTTCAAAACGTAATTGAGCAAATTTGGCATAACGTTCTAATAAGGCAATTAGAATGTAATTAATTTTCTAACTTTTTCTAACAATTTTGACAAAATGTAAAGTATTAAAATGTAACCGAAGAAAGTTTTGGTATAATAAGTTGATGTGCTGAAAAAATTAGTAAAAAATTTTGGTACTTAGAAAGCAATTTGAAGCAAGATTGAGTGCAACAAAATCAGGGGTAGAAAAATTCTGGAAACCTGCTGACGAGGTTCGTACGCTCCAACGTGCATGTGCAAAGTGAGATGATGTCCTTTCGTCTCGAGTTCTTAGTGGTGTGATTATTATCACGGCTGTTGTTTGGTTTGACTGCGTAATTGAATGCGATGGACCCTCCGTATCGACCCTTAGCACTGGAAACATTTTTTCCCCACGTATAATAGCATCTAATGGAAGATTTTTACGTTTTTTGTAAACATCACTTTAAACACAAAGGCAGAGAATAATCTTTTGTTCGTTTATCTGAATTGCATCTGTGCACATTGCAACTCAAATGCATGCAAATTTATTTTATTACACATTCAATTCATTATACCATTAGGAGAAAAAATACTTCTTTAACATTATAATTATATTATATTATCATAATTTTTATTTAGAAAGTTTTTATTTTCTATATTCAATACAGTTAACGTATTACTATATTTTATAATATATATATATGAACACATATATAATTGAAATAAAATATTACGATTTTTTATTTTGGAGTAAGTGCTTTGATATTTAACGAAATGTCAGATTGAATTGGTTGGTAACAATGATGTGTTGCTGATAACTTGTGCTGAAGTTCACTCAGGTACAACTTATCCCAAAAACTGAACATGTTTAGTACTTTTCGTAAGGCTATGACGGAATTTGTACTACTGTACTGCTGTTCTTGATTTCTTTCGTTGAAAGTGGCAGACAGAATGTTCAAATAAATTTTTAATACAATTATAAATATTATTAATTCTAATGCCGAATGTCATTTTTAATGTTTCATTTAAAAAACGACTTATTTAAAAAAATTTATAAATTGTTTTTTTTTTAATTTATGCAAAATTTCAAGATTCACTTACACATAGTTCATAAGTTTTTTCAAACTTTTTATTTCATTTGTCACCTTTTTTCATAAATTTAACATTTTCATTCGCATGATTCAATTTCGCATACGGACACCACATCCATTTTCATCTAATCCATCTTGTCATAATCAAATTAGCGTAGACCAACTCTGCAACTATTTATTTTCACTACTTTATTGAAAAATTAATCAGTCCAATAAATAATTCAACGTAGAACGTCTGTGTTGTTCAGCTAGTCGTGTAAATGGTTGAGCAACGAACGATCGTCTTGAATGCAGACAATTTTGTTTCGCCGGTCAGTTCAATATCTTGTCTCCATATCCTTTTATAAAAATTTTATACAACTTGCTTTCAATGTAATGTAAATTTTAAACGTGCACGAAATACATATTTTTCATTTTTAATCGGACTCAGGAAAATGAATTCGTGAGACTAACTGAAATTTCATGTTCTGGCACGCAAAAATTCTGACATATCATCAACGTTCAATTTATTTTTTTGTGATACAAAAAACGCGTTGAATTTTTTTATTTTGTTTCTTTAAACACGTTTTTCAAATTTAAAAATATATCTTTTATAAATTAATTACATTCCAAAAATCATGAATTGAACTACTAAACAATAAGTTAATTTTATTGAAAAATGAAAATACTGACGACGCGATAATTCAGCGTTGGTTTGTTAGAACGTCCATTTCCTCAATGTTCGGATAAACTAACCTATCTTGGTCATCTTGTAGGTACATCTGCTTCATCTACGTATATCCATAAAATAATAAAATTGTGATCTCTCTTGCTTCTTGTCGAGTTGAATTGATTTCAAAAAACTGTTTTAACGAATTCGTCCTTCTTTCTGCTATCAACTTTCAAAAATGGAGCGTAAACGACCGCTTTGAAGAAATTTAAATCTTCTTTCTCGTATTTATAATTACGCGAATTTCTAAACAGGGGGCCACATTTTTTTTCAAATTTTTTTCTATCTCTCTTAATTGGGACTGCCTCCACTTTTTCCCTCAGTTCGCAGACGACGACGAACGACAGAATGACGAAAAATATGCCAATGCTCATGACGAGCGGTCCGACGTATATTAAAAACTTGAAATTGGATAGTGAGTTCTGCTCATCATGGTAACTCTTCGCAGTTGCTTCGTTGGATGCCTCGCTGTCATTCGCGCTTTTAAGTTCATCATTTATAAAACTATCCGTTATGTTTGATGTGAGCTTTTTTATTTTATCAAATATTTCACTTATTACGCTGTTATTTTTTAACAATTGTGTAACATTTAAAAAATTCTCATTTATTTCAACATGTTCCCTCAAAAATCTTTCATTAATCGTAGAGTTATCTAAAATGGAGTTGGTTGGAATAGGAATGAAATGGTGTGCTTTGCCAATGCTTTCTCTTTTCCGCTCTTGCTCGCGAAATGCTTTTATTTTGTTGCTGTTGAAGACTTTGTAAACGACATTTTTCAAATTTCTAACGTAAACTACGTCGTATTTCTCGCGGTCCATAAATAGGTGAGCTTGCTGGCGTTGAATTTCCTGCCTCAACTGAGCTTGCTCCGCATGGTGGTTCAGCAAAAATTCCTCATAACTGAAAGATTTCAAATCATCTTGGCTGTATTCTGCTTTGAATCCAACAAAACATAAAAACACACCAAATAAAAAAATAGCTATTCCGATTAGTGAGGCGACGAGCGCCTGCCAGACAAAAGGATAGGGTTTCTTCGACAAAGACTCCAGTGATGCTTCATAAATTTCAAGTCGGGCCGTGTTTGTTTCTTGTTGTTTTGCAGCTAAATAACGCTGCTGCCTTCTGTACTTTTTAGGAACTTTCAACCAAACTGGAGGAGCTTTGTTTTTCCAACTTCTTATCCCTGGACCCCTCTGTCTACTGATTATTCTACCAGCGTTGAACATGCAAAGTTATTCCTTACAGAAACTGTTTAGAAAGGTCAGTGCACGTTAAAACTTTTAATTTTATGTCACAAAATTCAAAAATCATATAAATTTTATTAATTAAAACGACGTTAAAACAAAAGTAAAAACATTTGAATTTATTGTAACAAAATACAAAACAAATACTAAAATTTTGCATACAAGCGTGTTGATTACGCATGTATGAATTTTTATACATAGTGATATAAATAATAAAAGTGTTTTACCTTCTTGAATGGTCTTTAGCTGGCAAGTTTTAAGCTAATATAAAAACTATCTACAAAAAGGGTTATTGTTCGAAACTAAATATCAACAAAAAGGAAAAGAACAATTGCAAAGAGATGCGTATATGTATAGTTTCCATCATATACTATTAAATAAATATATATAAGCCTACATATATATTAATGTTTGTTTATAAAAATACAAAATACATCAACAGTTATTGTTATATACAGTGTGTTTGTTTTTCTGTCTTTAAATTTATACATTGCTATTTTAAAAATCTATTATGTATCACGTATATATAGAGGACTACGTAGTCGACGCCTCAGTTTACATGTCCTGGAATGTAATATGACTGCAAGTAACAAACCAATCGTTAAATTGAAAGGCGAAGATGATGAATGTTAGAATGCTGTTGTTTCCACGTTTGACAATTTTTTTTATACACAGGTGCTTCTCGTTGCTAAGCTCATTTTTTTGGGTGTGGCTTTCCTTTGGTCTTTGTTGCAGTTTATTGAAGAGTAATTTAAGAAAATACTGAAAAAATATATGTATTTCTTGTTAATTTTGTTATTTTAAGTAAGTCATTCATGCAAACAAGTAAGTTTAATTGATAGAATTCAATTTAGATACAGAAAAGTTAATTATATGTAAAAAGGGTAAGGGAAAATTCAATGCGGTGTTTAATTTTTGTTACTTTAAGCTTTCCATAGAACCTACCTACTAATGTTCAATTTTCAATTATGTTGTAAACACGATTAGTAATACGCGTAACTTGTCGTTTTTAAACGTTAGTTTTTAGATTTGGTCATTTAAAGCTAACAAAAATATTTTTATTTTACAAAATAATAGTTTTTAATTTTACTGGTTTCAAATTAATTTATATTTATTTTTTAGAATACTACAGTGAACTGAATGAACACTGTGAACTGTGAAGTGAACAGAACAGTGGTCTAAATATTTTTTTATCATAAATTTATTTAAAAAACTGAAATACAAGTTTATTTAATTAATTTATTTATTGTTATTCGTACTGGAAATTCCATTGACGAATTTAGTGTAACTGTCAAGACAAAAATAGAAACTTGAATGGCGATACCTGTGAATGAGGGCATTCGAGTGATGAACTTGGAACAGGACATAGATGAAGTTAGCAGGGAGGTTGTGCCAGCATCTTGGGACCTTTATGAAATGATTCAAGCTTTTCTGCAGGTTCATTTCATTTTATTATCTTCATCTCAACATTTTAATTTAAAATGAAATTATAAAATAAAATTATTAAAAAACTGTTTTGTGTTTTTGTTTAGCTTTATTAATTTATTTATATTTCAGCTTATTAGTAGTGTAGTTTGCAGATGTGAAATTGTTAATACTTGTTAGTTCATTTCAGAATAATTTTTATATATGAATTTATAAAAAGTTAGTGTATCATTTTATTTCCTAAAGGCTCCCAGCTACCATGTGTATTTTGAAATTCTTCTCATAGCCTGGATAGCTCGACTTGTTTTATTTACAAAAAGTTACAAACCAAGTAGAACTGTCTTGACCGAAAAGGTGCAATTTGTTTAATTGTCATCTGCCTCTTCAATTCTTAACATGCATCTAACTAACAGTCTTTTTGTAATCAAGTCACTGAAATTTTATCACTTATTCAATTACATCATTGCCTGTGGTACATTTAATCAGTAATTTATTTAATCTTTAATTAATTTATTCATTTATTCATTCATTTTCTCATTAATTTTATTTATTTAATATGTTATTACCCTAAATTAGGAGAAGGAAGAGTTAATAGATGAGTGGCAGCCAGAAGCACTGGTGCCCGATGTAGATGAGGACCACCCACTGCTTCAGAACATCAACAACAGATTAATTCATGGGTCGGCCAGTTCTCTCCTTTTATCTCCATCTCTCCAATTAATATGATAATTTATTTAAATATAATGTTTCATTTCTTATTTCAGTTTTTACTAAATTATGAAAAATAAGCTTGACAGATTTTTGAAATTATTTCTTCCTTTTAAAAGAAAAATTGGAAAATATGTGAAGATAAATGACAAAGAATGTTTGAACATGGCCTCCATGAATTTTCTTTCTATGTCGGCCAGGAAAGATATTGAGGTGAGTAGAAGGGAGATAATTAAATTATTTTAAGATCAATAAATATATAATTATTAATTATAATAATAATAAGAGACAGTGATGATGAGTAAGTTATTAATGATGATGGTAATGGTGGTTGTGATGATGAATGATTATGGTGATTACAGAGTAGCATGTTCTTATGGTGGCAATAAAAACATTTAAATGTTGATTTTGAATGATGATATCGAATAGATTGTGATGATGACGTAATGATGATAAAATTGTGTGTGCTAATTTTTTGTATGATGATAATAATGATGATGAGGATAGAATTGTTGAGTACTTTAACAGTGTGTGAGTGCGAATGTTTATTTAGGATGGTAGTGTAATGGTTAATGATGATGAATTTGATCATGATGTTCATTATTGCTAGTAAATAGATGATGGGGACGATGATGGGGATGATGACGACGATGATGATGACATTTTTTAGGAATCTGCAGTGAAATCATTGAGGAAGTATGGTGTTGGTTCATGCGGTCCGCGTGGTTTCTATGGAACTGTTGGTCAGTTTTTTCTTCCTATTTTTCCTTTTTTTATATTTTTCTCTTCGTTTTTTTTTTCTCTTTTTTTTCTCTCTCTCTTTCTTACTCTCTCTTTTCTCTCTTTCTTTCTAGTTCATTATGAATCATGAACCCTGACCTTTTACAATCATTTTATTGCAGTTCTCACCATTAACATCATTGAAACACCATCACCAAACATCATCTTTTTCACCATAATCATTCTTCATCATCGTCATCATCACTATTGTCGCCGTCACCATCACAACGATAATCACCATCGTCATCATCACCATCGTCATCATCATCATCACTACAATCACCATCATCACCGTCACAGATGTGCACTTGAAGTTGGAAGAGAAATTGGAGAAGTTCATGAGATGTGAGGAGGCCATCATATACTCGTACGGGTTCGCCACTATTGCCAGTGCCATCCCTGCCTACTCGAAACGGGGGGATATCATATTTGCGTGGGTCTTGTCTTTATTGTTGTTAATGTTGTCTCTCTCCTGCTTGTTGTGTATTATTATTATTATTATTATTATTGAGGTTTATATAGCGCTGATTGTAGTAATAGTTTTTATCAGTGCTACTCTGACTATTAAGTTATATCACGACGAAGGGCTGTATGTATCTTCGTGTCTGCTGCATTGGTTTTGTTTCATCACATGTAGACCTCGTTGTTGTTGTTGTGTGTGTGTGTGTTGCGTCATATTTTCTGTTGCTGTGTTTTATCTGTTATTTTATCATGCTATCGTGTTATCGTGTTATTCTATTGTATTAGTTTTATACAATATTTGCATTGATCGTTGTTTGGACTTGACGTGTTTCGCTTTCAGATTCATCCTGTTTTGATTGTTTTTTTTATCTTTTTAGTAATTTCCATCAGTTTTGTTTTTCTTTCATTTTTCTTTAGTTTCTATTGAGTTGATGTGATTGGTCGGTTATTTAAATCAATTAGCGTTTTAATTGAATAATTAATTAATTAATTAACCTCCTCCCAAAGAGATGAGGGTGTGCACTTTGCCATCCAGAAGGGCATACAAGCCAGTAGGAGCAAGGCCGTCTTTTTCAAGCACAATGACCTTGCTGACCTTGAGAGGCTACTTCAAATTCAACAGGAAGAAGATAGGAGGGTATGTGACGTTGGGGTCTGCGGCAAGGGAAGGGGGGGGGGTTTAATATAAGGGTGTTTGACTTACGGGTTCTCATATAGGGTTCTAAAACGTAAAAAGTGTAGTATAATTAAGTTGTAATATTTATAATAATCAACGTATATTCTTTGGATTTACCGGATTTTTTAGATAATTTTAGTTTTATTTATCAATAATTTGGTTAATAAATTGTAGAACCCAAAAAAGGCCAAAGTGACGCGAAGGTTCATGGTCATAGAAGGCCTCTACCTCAACTATGGTGATCTTTGCCCACTCCCTCAACTGGTCGGTTGGTGTTCACCCACTTGTTTTTTCTACTTCCGTGTTGTTTGCACGGCCGATAATAATGATGCAAAGTGATCTATGTAATTTTTCAATATAATTATTTTAGTATTATCATTATACAATTTTATTTTATAATTTTACACTCTTCCTTACATTCTTAACGTAATTAACGTAATTGTATTTTCAACGCTGTAACTGCAGCAATGATATCAATCATGTGCGATAGTACTGTGAAGTGATACGATATAAGATAGATATAAGATATGAAAAGATAGTACGGTGAATTTTCATTCATCATGTGTTACTATCTACTACTCACTTTCGGTTACTTATCTAAAAATTACTTTATAAATCAGAAATGTCGAATTATTGAATAATTCATGTATCATTTTGTCCTGATACTCACCAGATTGAACTTCGAAACAAGTACAAAGTGCGCATATTCCTCGACGAGACGGTTTCATTTGGAACCCTTGGTGCCACTGGCAGGGGGGTCACTGAACATTATAACGTTGATGTTGGCACCTTTTTAAATTCAGAATTATGTTGAATTGTGTTCATTAATTAATGTCTCCACTGATTAATTATAATTAATTAAGTTAAATTATAATTAACATAGTTTAATTATAACTAAGTTTAATTATAATTAATTAAATTCAATTATATTTAATTAAATTCAATTATGATTAATTATGTTTAATTATAATTAATTCAGTTTGGATATAATTAATTGAGTTTAATTGATTGATTGATTGAATGACGTCACGTAGATGAACGAGATAGATCTGATGGCTGGCAGTTTGGAGTACGCCCTGGCGTCCGTTGGTGGCTTCTGCTGTGGCAAGGCGTACGTCATCGATCATCAGGTCAGTGCGTGTGGTCGGTGGTCAGTCTGGTGGCGATCGTGTAACTGGTGGCTGTGGCGATGAGGATGATGGTGTTGACAATTATGGGGGGTAATGGTTATGACGGTGATGTTAAAAATTGGGATGGTGGAAAGGATCAATAACCATGGTGGAATACGGTGACTAACTATAGTGATATGAGGATAAGTTGTATGATATAAGTGAGGAAATGATCAATGGCAGCTATGATGCTAACATCAACGATGATGACGATGATGTTGACGATGACGATGATTTAATGATGGTGATGTGAGTGAAGGAAAACCCCAACAGAGGCTATCAGGGCTTGGTTATTGTTTCTCCGCGTCGTGTCCTCCAATGCTTGCCCAATCGGCCATCACTGCACTGGAAATTCTGGAAGATAAACCTGGTCTGTTGAACGATTGGCTGGTTGATTTGTTGAATGATTGGCTGGGCGGTTAGCTGGCTGATTGGTTGGTTGTTTTGTTGGATGGTTGGTTGTTTTTTTGGCTGGTTGGTTGTTTGGCTGGTTGGTTTGTTGGTTGGTTGATTGGTTGGTTGGTTTATTGATTGATTATTGATTGATTTGTTGATTGATTGACTCACTCATTTATTTACGCGCTCGCTCAATCACTGACTATAATTACTCATTGACTGGTCGATTGTGATTTATTTAGCAATTGGAGCAATTTGAAACTGTTTAAAATTTCATAATATTCAAATTTCACGTCAAGAAATGTTAGAGAAGTTGAGAAAAATCTGTCAGCATGCTCATGAAGAACTAAACAAGTAACTTTTTAACTTTTATTTCTTGTTCGTCACCGTCATCATCATAAAAATCATCTCGATCATCATCATTATAACATGATCACCATCTACTTCATTATTTTCATCATTGTCATCGTCACCACCACAAACAGATTGGAAGGTGTTCGCATTGGAGGCAGTGACATCTCGCCGATATTACACATGTACATCAGCAAGAGCATCAGCAGGGAACAGGACAGCATTCTTCTCAGAAAAATTGTTCAAATGGTTCGTCGTCATGATAATCACTTTAATATTGATAATAATTGTGGTGGTAGCGGAAGAGGTAGCGACACTGACTTTGGTAGCGGCACAATGAAGCTGAAATAAAATCGCTACTCGTTATATTTGAATTGAATTTACTTTTTGCTTATGGATTATGATATGTAAGTCTAAAATAATTTTTGTACCATTAAAACTTTAATAAGATAACGTCGTTTTGTTTCTGTGTTTGTTGGTCACTTCATGGCTGCAATTAGAACTTTCAACTGTTATTTACATGATGCATGACGACTGTTGTGTTCTTCAGTTAATCTAATTCACATTTAAAGGCAGAAGAAAAAAATTTAGCTCTGACGATGGCCGCATATTTGGATGAGGAAATATTCATGCCCCAACCTAGGTTCAATCAATATTCTTTTTTTTTTTTTATTAGTCTTTTTATTATTGCAGCTCTGACATACGCAGAACCACTTACAATGTTACAGGTATATTATCTATATATCTTTATTATGTTCTTCATATCTTCAACCAATGATATGAAGCAGCCATCTTCACCACAAAGGCTGTTTATCCTTTTCACACGACGTACACATGTATTTATGTGCACGCGCAAGCACCGCATCATATACGCCGAGTATATGATAGCCATTGAGATGTTTGACTTAGCGCGCATTTGAACCACTGAGCCATCTCGCCGGCCAACATGCGACAACTTACGTCGTCTACCCATTTACTAACCACGAAAGGATGAACGGCTGGGTTGACTGGGAGTCGGCTACCCGGATGAACCTGTAGAAACTGCAGAATTCGAACCCGGGTCGTGGGAATGGTAGACAGACATCTGCATGCTTATCTTTATTTCAACTAATAATTGTCTTATTGGATTGATAATTCCTCATTTACCATTATTGCATCGAAAACAGCATTCGAATACCAATCAGTGTCGAAATGGATTATGGAGACATTGACGAAGCAGTTAACATTCTGAAACCCATCCTCAAGGCCCTTCTATAATTTATGTTGATTTCTTAGGTACATTTTATAATTTATGTTAATTCCTGGCTACTTTTCGATGACGTCTGTCACTTTTTATGCGGATATAATTAATATATAAACTATAAATGATGGTATGATGTTGATTAATTCTTTCCTGAGATGTTCAAATCATGTTTTTTATTTCCATTGTATGCTTCATGTTCCATTCATGTCCTGTTCAGAATTGTATGTATGTTTATTTAATTTATATTTATTAGTTAATTTTGGCTTTTGTAAAATTCTTTGGATTAAATAAATTTTCTTATTGATTTATCTGGTTTGCTTGTCAAATGCTAAATCTACTGTCGCATACGGATATTATGTGCGTGTGCGTTGGTGTGTGTGTGTGTGTGTGTGTGTGCTTGTATAAATTTATTTGGTTGGAGTTGGAGAGCAGCACAAAGCGCTTCCTAATGTGACAATCCATAGTTGAAGCTACTTCGTCACCTGGTTTACACACCAAATGTTCAAAAATAAATGTAATAATGATGGAAATACAGTAAATTTACGATAGTGGTACATTCGGTGAACAAATTAATTTAAAAGAATATCAAATGTCAAAGAAATTTAAGAATTAAACGTACGGAGTTTATCCCATATAATTAGAATAAAGTTTAAAGACCAACTTTTAAAATTAACTTTTAATCGACTTTGTAATTTTTGTTCTATTTACAGTCTTTTATCTTTCGTAATGGAGGTTATATAAATAATGAAAATAAATAGACTATAGATAAACACCGGTAAATAATCTCATCGTCAACGAAACATCAAAAAGATCGTCCGAAGATCGCCAAGCAAGTTTCCGACCACAAAATTGCCATCATACGAAATTTCAGCAAACGAATCAATGAACTCATCAGCGGGAGAGATTACTACTACCATTACGTTAGAGATGGTGTTGCAAGCCCTGGACTCCCTCTACAAATCGAACGATCATGACGCCAGGGATAAGGCCTCAAAATGGCTCGAGCTGGTCCAAAAATCTGTGAGTATTCTATCTTTCTAATATCTCTAATTGTTTATTCTTTATTATAATTATATTGACTGATGATCAAATCAAATTTGTTACTTATCAGCAGTAACAAATTTGATCATATCAAAGTAACAAATTTGATCATATCAATCAATGTAATTATTTATATTTATAAGAATTATAATAAAATTATAATATAATCATAATCATAATGCTTATTAGATAAGTAAGAATATTGAATTAAATTATTAAGATAATTAATACAGGCTAATTGTTATTGCATTATTATAAAATATAACAATGATACAACAAAATTGTTAAAACTACTATTATTTCTACTAATTTCTTTGGTTAAATTTCAAATTTGTTTAATTATTATAATATAAAAATAATAAATAGTAATGTTTATATGAACTGGTTCATTAAAGGTTGAAGCCTGGCAGATAGCAGATCATCTACTACATTTGAATAGAGATGAGGAGTCAAGTTACTTCGCTGCACAGACCATGCGGACTAAGGTTTCTAAAACATTAATTATTTATAATTACTTATACTAATAGTTACTAATTATATTAATAATTTAATTTTTTGGTTATTTTACAATTACAGTTATTAATATTCAAACAAATTGATTTTAAACTATTTGAAGGATGTAATATTTATAGGTATTTTTATTCTAATTGCTCAAAGATAAATTTTATTTTTTTTTATTCAGGTTCAGTTTTCATTCCATGAACTACCAGCAGACAATTATGAAGTCAGTATATTTTTATTCCATTAAATTATTTCTATTATAATTTTTAGTTTATCTAGTAAAATGGTAATTTACATTTTTTCCTTTTGGTTAAAAAGGCTCTTTGCACATCTCTAATGAATCACTGCAAGAATATAACCAAAGACACCAAACACACAATTGTCACACAGGTTAGAAAAATTTTCAATTCATTTTTTAATTATTGATCATTCAATTTTTTATTCCTTCATAATTAATTTTTTAATGCATAAATTTTTTTTGTGTTGTTTTTATTCTTCATTCATTTTTTATATCCATCCATTCATTCATTCTTCATTACATTGCAATCAAACATATAAAATTTGACTACCTGCTATTTAATTCAACTCATTTGTTCATTCATTTTCCATTTTATCTCATCAATCCATTCAGCTGGCACTAGCTCTCTCAAACTCTTTTTCTTCATTTTTTTAATTTGTCCATCCTTCCAGCTATCACTAGCTCTCTCAGATGTGGCTCTTCGAATGGGAACATGGAAAAAAGCAATGGCTCAGCTGTTACAACAGTTTGTATTCTTCTTCGTATTTTTTACATGTCAAATTGTTTTATCAATTCCATTTTAATTATCATTTTCATATATTTTTTAATAATTGTAAAATGGATGGTTTTATGCTATTGAATTATTTTTCCTTTCAATATCTATGCCTGTTACTTTTAATTTTTTTCAAAAACTGTTCATATTTTTTGATCATATTTAGTTTTCTCGGTGCTTAACTATTTGTTCAAATGAATGGTTGATTCTTGTGCCTAAAAATACAAATAAATTAAAACATGCACCAAAATCATCGTTTCCTTTTTGGTTTTTCTATCTATGCTTGTATGATGTGATTCACAAAATGATTTCTAACACCTTAGATTCAGCAGTAGCGAAGAACATTGGGACTTTCTATTGGAGATGACTCATGTTTATCCGGAAGAAGTTGGTTTCATTATTGTTATTATTACTATTTTGTGGTTATTGTTGTTGTATATATTTTTATTACATTTATATAACGCTAATCATATAAAGAAAGATCACGGGTAAGTCTTTGTTAATGTTGTCAAATTTTATGTTAGGTTTATTGTCATTGTTTTTGGGTCTATGCTTATTTTTCTGCTGCTGTTTTGTCTACGTTAAATATTCTGTTGTTATTTTGTCCATGCTAATGTCTGTTGTTTTTGGCTGATATAAATTTGAATAATATGATGATATATTAATAGGAATTTGTTATAGTTTGATCATTTATTATTAACAATAATATTGTGATAATCAACATTATAATAATAAACAAAATTCTAATTTAGGTAAACAGTCGACCCCTGCGATTAGGCGAAAACAGACGAAACGAGATCTATGCCGAATTGAGGGAAGCCTCCGACCTCTTCATCACATTTTTAGTTTGTTTCTTTTTTGTTTCTTCCTTGTTTACTTTTAATTTTTTTTTATTAAATTTCTTCACTTTGTGAGAGTTTAGGTATAGTTTAGTCATAGTTTATGTGAATAAATGTTTTTTTCTTATTATCTACATGTTTTTGAGTTTTAGTTGCTAATAATAATGTTAGCACGTTTTATATTATTATTCTTATTAATGTTTTATTTTTCTTTTGAAGTTTTCCAGTAAAGAATTCTATTACATGGCTCAGGCCGTTCCAGTTTTGGATGAAAACTTGCCGGCCAGCGAGTCATCTTCATTTTTGCCACATTTCATGATCTCTACAACATGCACAGCTTTTTTTCTCTCTATCAAATCGGTCACAGAAAATGTTTAAACTTTGTTGGAAACATCAGTTGAGATTTTTAGTCTAGCCCATCCTGCTGTTTCAAATTCTGTTCCAACTTTTGAAAGTTTAATGTTTCTTCTGTAAAATAAATCCTTTGTTAGACATGACCATGAACTTTTAGCATGCATTTTTGGCTTTTTAAGTCTAACAAATCTACTGATAGGATGTGCTAGGAAGTATTTGTTGGCTCTTAAAAAGAACCCACATTTCTAACCATTCTGAGTCATCATCAAACTTTTACAAGCATGATGATTCAGCTGCTGTTTGTGTTAAATCTGTATTAGGAAACATCTGCACCAGTTTGCAATCGTCAAATTATCAGCCAAATTGAAAATTGTTGCTTGGTAACTGTGGCTAAAGCTGGAAAATCGGCGATTGTGATTTAAATGTGGCAGCTCAATCAAAAAACAGTCCATGCAACGTACCAGCCTGCTAACTAACATCCAGCAAATCTACTAACTCTTATCAACCAACCAACTTACTTTTTAACCAATCAACCAACCAACCAGTCCAAAGTGGTAGAGAAGCGACCGAGTGATGTCAGAACTTTGTCGAAGGTTTTCAGATGCCTCTCCAGTTGGCTGAACGTCAATTCCGTCAAGCATGAAACACTGATGTCATGTGATCTCATGAGATTGGCGTTCATGGCTGTGGTAAGTCTGGATGATGTGATGATGGAATGGTGTGGTGTAATGTGATGTAATGATGTGATGGTGTGGTGTTGTGTGATGATGATGCAAATGATGATGTGGTATCGGTGGTGATGACGATTCTGTTGGTGATGCTGCTGGTCAGTTGTAGTCATATGGATGATGATGGTGATGATAATAATATAATTTCAAATCTTTTATTCTGCAATCATAATTTTCACACATTTAGTGCATAATGTTCAAGAATTAAACGGTCAGATTTGTAAATAAATAACATGAATAAACAGATTATTAAATAAATTCATTAGTTAGTTAATTAATTAATAGTTAATTAAAAATGAAATTTTAGACGTCGCCATCATGTGATACAAACTTACATAGGGAGGCTTCTGATTGCATCTCAACTGCACTCCTCACCATCGAGGTTAGTCACTTCCGGTTGTCGTAATGTGCCATCTGTCCTCTGTAACCTGTTGATAAATTTATTTGCTTGTCTGCGTTATTATTGGCTATCTAACTCTTTAGTTAATTGACAATCGAATTAATTGATTTAATGAGTTGAGTGGAATTTGGTCAAGGTATAATTTAATGAAAAATTTTTACCTATCATTCATTTAACGCACTATATCGACACTAAGTAACCAATCAATCAATCTGACAATTTGTCAACAAATCAATCACCAATCAATCAATCAATACATTGATTTCAACCAACCACCACCAAGAATTTGAAGGAGAGCTCACAACTGGCACATGTTATGGTCAAAGAAATTGAGAAATTAGTCGAACCCTACCACATGACTGTCGCCATGAATGAAGAAGAAAAGTTATTATTTACACTTTCATTTTTTTCTGAATTTGATCCTATACAAATTGATTTTTTTAAATTAGTATTAGTTTGACTAACTGCGTCAAAGCGTCAAAAGAAGTTTCAAGTATTATATTAATAAATTTGATAAACACTTTTAAATGATGAAAGTACTGATGACGATTTAAATGACAAACAAATAACAACAACAATACAGGTCAATAAACTTCTGCAGAATCTTCACTGAATTAGCAGAAACTTTACTGGAATGCATGGTCGAAACTCCGAACCAGGTAGATCGCCTTGCTGGTGTCTGAGTGCGTATGTGTGCCGTTGATCACGTTGTTGATCACGTGTGTGTGTGTGTCTGTTTGCGTGTGTGTGTGTGTGCGTGTGTGTGTGTTTGCGTCTGCTGTGTTCTGGATCTGGAATCCTGATTCAATTAGTAGTAATGGTTGTTTTTTCTCAAATGCTCCAGGGTTTCGGTGACCTGAAGATTCTCGACATCCTGCTTACCTGTAATGGACACCATTGTTATAAGGTGCGACTTTTCAAAATTCGTAACTACTATCTTTAACAATATTAAATCAGAATAAAATCATTGAAACTTATAATTAATTACAATGCCGAAAAATAATTAAATTTGTGTCGGTAATAATTTTATCAATAAATATTCACCGTGACGAAGTTTGTGTCTAGCAGCTGATTGAAGACTTTAAAATTAATGTTTTTTTAATCTATCCAACAGGTGGCAGACGTGACGTTCAGTTTCTGGAACCATCTGTCAGACTTCCTCTATGAAGATCGTAAGAAAGGTGAGTGGGTAGACCTACATTATCATAATTTATGCTATTATTATCATCGCCACCATTATTCACATTGCTCTTATCATCATTATCATCTTCACTATCACCTTGATAACCATCTTCGTACATTTTCTCACATTGTCATCGTCGTCGTCATCAACTACGTCATCATCATCATCGTTGTTATCGTTATACAGATACAAATGCCTTCAAGCCATACATATGCCGACTCATCACATCACTATGTCGACTCTGCAGATATGATGAACCAACAGTGAGTAACTGAGTGAGTGACTGATGATGATGACGATGAATGATGATGTTTTTTTTTATTGTTTTTACTGTCGATAAGTGGTGATGACTGTACTGGAAAGTGATAGGATAATTAATGTTGTAACTGACTGCTTTAATACGTTGGAGATTGTAGAGATGAAATAATGGTGGTAGCGTTCATCACCATAGTGACATCACTGTCATCATCATCATCATTCTTTCTTATCACCACAGGACGACGATGAGGATGATTTTGAGGAATTCCGAAAGAGTGCACTCGCTTTAGTGAAGGACGTTCAGTTCATTGTGGGACCCGATGAGATATTGAGTCAGGTGAGGGGGAATTTTTGTGGATGATGATGGATGCTGATAATGAAGATGATGCTGATGAGGATGTTGATTAAGATGATGAGAAAGATGGTTATTATGTGTTAAACTGATCGTTTGTGTTCGACAAATTACTTATGTAAATGTAACAGAGCAACAAAAACCTTGACCCAATTTCTAGTTGAATGATTCGCTGAAGCTTCACTCACAAGAGGCTAACCAATCGTGGAACGTCTACGAGGCAGCCCTCTTCATCATGCAGGCACCCGCTAAGAAGTCAGATGGGTGAGTAGTCATTATGATAATGATGATGCGGTCGTGGTGGTGGTAGCGTTGCCATGTGATGATGATAATGATGATGGTGCTGGTAGAGAGGGTGATGATAACGATATGATAGTAGCAAGGTGATGATGGTGTTTTTTTTTGAGTATGACACTGGCTGTGATGGTGAAGACGATGATGCTTCATTGTGTATTCTCACATGTTCTGGAAAATTATTATATGAATAAATGTTTAATGATGCTGAAATTTCTGTTTAATAGTATTAATTAAGTAATTTGTAGTATATAATTAATTAATTAAATAATATGATTATATGATATAATCTGGTAACAATAGGAATGATGTGATGTAATGATGTATTTTTTTGTATGAAGTATTTATTAGCACAAATTCACTTCTGTACCAGGCGAGATCTAAAGACGACGCCGGCCCTCATGGAATTCATTACCTCCTTCCTCTTCCCGTCCGTACGTCACGACACCCTCCACAAGACCTGCCTCCTACTCATTGCTTGTTTTCAACGATGGTTCAAATGTAATCCATCTTACTTGGGTATGTGTGTTGTGTCTGTGTGTTTGTTTGGTTGTTTGTATATAAATTTTTACATGTTTATCTTTATTTCAATGTATTTCATACATTCATTTTGTTTGTTTTTGGTTGTTTGTTTGCTTGTGAGTGTGTGTTGTTGTGTGGTTTTGTGTACATGTTTGTATATCTGTGTGCGATCTACTGTTTTGTATTTGTGTATGTTTATGAGTTTAAACTTTTCTCATTGCGGACAATACAACTGCCCAGATATGGTCATGCCTGTGATAATACACTCCTTCCAATCTCACAAACTGGCTCCGACGTGTGCCCTCTGCCTGCAGAAGCTCTGTGAGACCTGCTCGTCTGAGATCATCAGGAGTCTGCCGACGCTGCTGAACATCCTGAATGTCGTTGAAGCCATCAACCTGCCACAGGACGGAATCATCAAGTTGTTGGAAGGTACGGAAAGTGGATGAGATGTGTGTGTGGGGATGGAGGCATGCGAGTGGCGAGTCGATGCATGGGGAGAGCGATTGTTTGTGCAAGTCATTTTAACTTTTCAGTTATATGAGTTGTTATTATAGTTGTTGCTATTCTCTGACCGTTTTAAATCTATTGCACAGCTGTCTCGAGTACACTTAGCTGCCTGTCTATAGAGGAAGTAGTCGTGGGGTTGAGACATCTCTGCAGCCCTCCTCTCAGCAACATCAACAAGGTAGGCTTCTACCATGTAAGTGTACTGTGCATTTTGTGTATGTATATATATGTATGTATATCTATATACATATATGTGTGTTTGGTTGTGTGTGTAATTTTGTATATATTTGCATGTATGTGCTTGTGTGCTTCTTGGTATTGTTTTTATGTTGACGTGCGTGTGATGTTTGATTTTGTGGCGTTTGAAATTGAGTGACGATGATGAGTGGTGTTGATGATCATCTGCTCAGATAACAGACAGCCCCATAACGAACGTGGAACAATCCTCAGACAGTGTCTGCGCCTCCCTTGACCAGCTGGCCTCAGTCCTCAAGTTAGAAGTCCACCATTTTGTTTTTAACATTGATACTGTTGTTTTTGATTATTTTTATTTTATTTGCACGTAACCACTTCTATCACTGTTGTAGCACTTGTGCTTCAACTAATATTAATGAAATGATCCTGAATCCACAGATGTGCACAAACGGAAAAACACGTGCCAGTCGGTCAAAAAAATCCATGCTTCCAAGTGGTTGTTGAGGTGAGTGCCTGATTGGTTCAGTCTGAAGTTGGCTGATTGATTGGTTGATTGATTGATTGATTGGTTGATTGATTGGTTGGTTGGTTGGCTGGTTGACTGGTTCAGTGGATTGGTTGATTGTTTTGATGCTTGCTTAATGAGTGATTGGATGGAATATATTTCTAACTCCTGATTGACTGTATTTTTGGAATGAACAGATATGGCCAGCAATATCAAAACTAATGCACACGTTTAAATCTGATGTGAAGGTCATTGAGCACTCCTGCAGGTTGGATGAATTTTAACCTTTTCTTACATTCATTTTATCATAAATATCTCTTTTGCATTTTGTCACAGTCTAATGTTGATCAGAATTTATCAAATTAAATTTTTTTTTAAAGAAAATTGTTTAATTTAATTAATTATACGGATTAAAACGATAAACTTATTTTTCGTATACACAGGTGTTTAAGAAACGCCATAAGAAGTTATGGCAAGAACGATCCCTCCCTCGTCCTACCCATCATGTCTCAGGTTAGTTTGGTTGGGGTGAGAGGTCAAGGTTCACCGTTGACTTCTATATTTCATGTAGATGTTTATGTTAAATGTGGTGATTTGGGATCGTTTGTCTGCGAGATTGTGACGTGTGGTACCATTGCAGTTTTACTCGCCAACGTGCTGTTAACTAACAATGATGCAGGTGGTTGAGATATACAAAGAACATCCTCACTCCTGCTGCCTCTACATTGGAAGCATCATGGTAGACTCGTACGCCAGCGACCCGGGCAACACGGCACTCTTCCTTTCTCTACTTGAAGTTGGTATTTTTTTTTTTTTAATTTAAAAAATTTAATTTTTTCATGTGGTCCTGATATGTTGAGTTTTTTTATAAAACACAATTTCCTGACACTTAGTGTGATAGCGGTATGTAGTTGGTAGGAATGGGACGGATCCAAGATTTTGGGATCCGTGGATCCGAATCCGGATCTCGACGATGGATCCGGACGGATCCGAATCCGGATCCATGTTGTATGCGGTCATAAAACTAAATAAGCTGTTTCTCTGACGAAAATCAAATTTTTGTTTTGAATGTTAAATTTGTAGAGGTGCAAAACGAATCTCAAAAACATCAGTTTTCATAACTTTAAATGATTATTACGTAATCAATGTTGATATTTAGATTCACTTTTTCCCTCAATCGATAAAATTTTCTCGCCGCTTAAGTTGATTTTGGACCCGTAAAACGCCGAATCCTCAATTTAGGATCCGCGGATCCGAATCTTTTCCGAATCCCTGGATTCGGATCCGAATCCGGATTCGGAACCGTCGCATTCCTAGTAGTTGGTAGAAGTAACGAAGTTGATGTGGTGTTGGTGATTATGCCGGTGATGATGATGAAGTGATGGTGTGGGTTGAGCGGCGAGCTTTGTAGCGAATGTTTCTCTACCTTGTGCTGTTGTGTCTGGCTTCTAATACTAAGATATCCCCCATTATGCATGTGCTTAACTTTGACGCATACACTGCAGACATGTATCTGGCGTTTTCGTAACGAGACTGATTTCATGTCTCTCTGACTATACACAAGGCGCTATATAAATTATACATTATTATTATTATTATTAGTAGTAGTTGTTGTAGTAGTAGTGATGGTGGTAGTAGCAGGGGTTGTGTTGGTGGTGGTTGTTATTGTGGTATTAATATTATGCTGATGATAAACTAGGAACTGAGTAGGAAGACGTTCTCAATGATTGAGCAGCTGGATGGAATGATCAACTATCCCGATATTGTGGATGACTTTTTTAGGCTTGCTATCAGGTTAGATGGATGGATGGATGGATTGATGGTAGATGGATGGTAGATGGATGGATGAGTGTTGGGTTGGTTGATTTATTGATGGATAAATGGATTGATTGATGTACATGGGAATGGAAAGTTATATAATATAACAACAGTAAATCATCTAAAGAAATGAGTTGATGTTAAATGATTGAACGAAGATTTTTGTGAAAGAAACTGATGAATTGATTGTTAGTTTTATGCAAATAAATATCTGTAAAGTTATTAATGTGTGTACATTTTCATCCATTTTAATGACTCTCAATTTCTATTTCATCGTCATAGGATCGTGGAGCAGTGCCCACTGGCGTTTCTCGAATATCATGGTTGTCAGACCATCGTTGCCACGGCCATTCATTCATGCTGCATATCTCACAGTGAAGCTAACGCTACTGTCGTTAGGTTGTCTTCAACTTTTTTTCACATTATTTTTACATATTTTATTATTTCCATCTTTTTTGGCTTTAATTCGATTATTATACGTTGTATCATCCAGCTGACTACCTGTTTTTCCAGTTAATCCTAACATCTGGCTCCATGCTGTATAATTATTTTCTAATAGTGCTAAACTTCAATTCTCGACAGATTCCTACTGAGGATAATTGACCTGGCCTCGTGCAGGGAGCTGGTAAGTATTTATTTCTATTTAATCTTATTATTTTTTAATTGTTAATTGTTACATTGCTTTTCAACGAACCAAACGTTCCACGCAGAACACAGAAACTCAGAAAAGACAGCACTTCCTCGTCCTATCACTGTTAAATGTGCATGGTCAGAACATTGTGAGCTCAGTCTTGGATGCCTGCCTCTTCAAGGTGCCCACGAGATTAATCTCATATCTGGCCAGCATCAACTATCAGTTGCTCAAGACGGACAGAGAGGTCAGTTGTTATAAACTATTTTGTTATTTCTTTACTGTTTGGGGCAGTATATTTTAACCGACTTTTAGGAAGATTGCTTTTTCTGGCCGTAAAATTTCTATTTGTGAGACAGCTTAAAAGTTTCTATGAAATTTGTTAATTCTAAACATTCTGCCTAATACCGTTGCTTAATTATCATCAATAATATTTTTGACCAGGCAACGATACGATGGTTGGAAAAGGCTCTCAACAGTCTACCGTCTCAATCGGCAACCGGTTGTGTGGCCGTCACTCAAGAACAGAAATCGAAATTCCTCCACTCTATCATCAGGTTGCTTGATTTGTTTGTTCGGTATAAATTCCCTTGTCCCCTAATCTCCCACTTGTACATTATGTTTTATATTGTGTTAATTTTAAATTTGTGACAAATTTTGTTTTCTTCCTTACAGCACCGACGATGAAGATGAGATTGGAGACCAGTACGAAAACTTTTCCTTGCTCTTCAGATGATCTTGTGGTCGTTGACGATAACCAGTCATTTCTACCCTCATTAATTGTTTCAATTCAGATCTTCATTAATTTCTCTCATTTTAGCAATGATAATTTACTTTTACGCGATATGTATGAAATAAATGTAAAAATTTATAGTCGTTCAAATTTTGGTACGGAATTTAAATAATGAAAATGAAGTCAATCGTTTATTCTTGCTCAATACAATGTAAAATTACATGTAAGATAGTTTTACTTGTCTAATAAATTTTCCAACTCATCTCTTGTTTTTTATTGGCTCAACAAAAGGAGGCCTGTCCGAACCAACATTGGGATGTATGATGATATACGACATACTACTACTAAATAAATTATCATGATATAATGAAGGATGATATAGTGGATACACTGATGGCAAATATTAAATATCTAAATTATAATTTAGAGCTATATGGCAGAATATGAATACGTGTATTTTTTTCTCTATGCATTCTTACATTGTATCTGATTTCAAACTAAGTAAAATTTTCAAATGAAATTTTTCTTCACAATTAATTTTCTAAATAAATAATTGTCTGAATAATAAAAAAATAAACTACAATAAAAAAAAGAGTTTTTTTTTTCTGTCACATTACTTTTTAAAGAACCACACTGAGAATTTTATTTTTAAAAGTGAAAGAGCAAGTGGTGTGAGGAGAAAGGTGATGTTTTTGAACTTTGCACACACCTTGGTTAGGAGAGATTAGTTCAATTTTTAGTTACTCTGATAATAATTAAATTCTAATTTTTAAGAATCGTTTTATTTTAATTTTGTCATTGCATATGCTGCATTGATTTACTTCAATTTAGTGGTTATTATTTTTGCTCATAATTACACTTTTTTTACACTTTTACAGTTTACTGTCCAAGTGTACAGAGTACAGTACTCACATTTATTTACTTACATGCGCGAGAACAAACAAACACAAAATTTATTATAATAGCAATGTAATAATAATTATAATCGCATACCTTTTAAAAAGTTTTAACCCTTCTTAACTTAACTGTAACTTTAACATTATAATTTTATTTAAATCTAATGTGCTAACGCTAAGTCCTAACAGGTTGTAAATGTTTTATTTAATTTTATTTTAATAATTGAAAAACTTAAATTTTATTTAATAATTAATATTTAGAGTCGTTTAAATTTGGAAACAAATAGCAACGAACTTGATTGAGCAGATTGATAGTGATTAGAGATTATTAGAATTAATTAATGACCATAATTAATTTAATATTTAATTAATCTATTACTATTTTATAGTGAAAGTTGAAATATTTAAGTCTTGAATCATGAAATCAAAATAATTCATTCATTCATAATTAAGTCAAAATAAAAAAATTTGTAGATCAAACTACCCAGTAAATTTTTGAAATGCCAGGTGAGGTGTGATGCGGTGATGAGTTTTGATTGGTCTTTCTTTTTTTTTATAATTTTTAATAATTAAATAGATTGAAAATTATTCAATTTGATTCAATTTGATATCACCGTTTTATTTTTCTAATGACCAAAGAGATTTACTAAATGCATTTTTTTATTATTGTATTGTTATTTTTTGAATTATGAAATAAACTGAACTAAAAGTTGTGCTTTTAATTTTTATCTAAAAAATTTAAAATAAAACCAATCACAAACAACATAAAAAAATAAGTCAAAACATTGCAGCTAAAGATGTTTTTCATAATTTGTTGACATCATTCACTCTGACACGTGACAAGGTGTACAACTACTATGATTTGAGCAAACTGGACCCCGTTCTTTATAGTTAGTTAGCTCATCTGGTTTTTCCGTTCAGTTATTCATATTCTTATTCTAGCTAGCTAGTTATTAAGTACATCATTTCACAGATAGTTATATATCTCAAATTGAATTTCCATGTAAATTTTTGAATTTGAATAAACATGAATATTTCCAGAAATCTAACTAAAAAGTTTTAAATAATAAATTTTGTTTTTGCTATTTTTGAATCATTCTATTCTGTGTAAATAAAATTAGTACTTTTTTAAATTTAATTTAATAAAAAATAAGGAGTTTTATAAAATGTTTAAAACACAGATCAACTGCCATACTCAATTCGAGTTCTTCTTGAATCAGCAGTTAGGAATTGTGATGATTTTGAAGTGAAACAACAAGATGTTCAAAATATCTTAAACTGGAGGAAGATGCAAACAGAAGCTGTGGAAATTCCATTCAAACCTGCTAGAGTTATTTTACAAGATTTCACGTAAAAATTTTTAAATTTCAATTTTTTTATATGTTTTAACAGAAATAATCTTAACTCATAAAATTTAAAAAAATTTAAAACTCTGTTGATATCAAACGCATCATTGTTCATGTGCTTTCACCATATGCATTTGAATTTTTCTTACCATTTATGATTTACTCCATATTTTTCTGGTTTTGTTCTGGTTTTGAAATTTCCTTGCATTCCAAACGACACAGTGGAGTACCAGCGGTTGTCGACTTTGCAGCAATGAGAGATGCAGTAAAAAGATTGGGTGGTGATCCAGATAAGATCAATCCAATCTGCCCTGCTGACCTGGTCATTGACCATTCGGTGGAGGTTGACGTCTCGAAGAGGTTCATGTCTTTTGTTTGTTGCTTGTTGTACTGCATGTTCTCTTTCTATTGTTGCTGCTGTTGTATTTAGGTATGATTGCGATGACAAGGATGACGATGACGATGAAACGATGAAAATGATGATGTTGGCGATAATTGTGCTAACAGTAACGATGATGTCATTGAAAATTATGGTTATTATGATGATGGTGACGGCGCTCGTGATGATGAGGTGATTGAGGTATGGACCGGTGAAGACTAATCTTAATTAAGTTCATTTCGCCACAGTCCTACAGCTCTGCAGCAGAATCAAGAGATTGAGTTTCAAAGGAACAAAGAAAGATTCACGTTTTTGAAGGTTGTCAATTTTTTTTAGTAAATGAATATAAAACTAAATTGATTTATTTTTCAATCATTTTGAAACATAGAATTGAATGTACAAACATCATTAAACATCATTTCTAAAAACCTAACTTTCCACACAGTGGGGTGCAAAAGCCTTACGAAACATGCTGATAGTCCCTCCTGGCTCTGGAATCATCCATCAGGTTAATTTAGAATATTTAGCAAGAGTCATGTTCTTTGAGGGGAGTCAGGGAGAGGCCCTGGTGTACCCTGACAGTTTGGTAGGGACTGATTCGCATACTACTATGATCAATGGATTGGGAGTGGTTGGATGGGGTTGGTTGCCATTGTTTTTAAAGCATACATGATTGATTTGTTGTTAGCACAACTTTATGAATATTTAATTTTAATCATTTGCATTATTTACGCAGTTGAATTAGAATCATAGGTAAATTTGCTCATGCAACATAATGTTGGTGCATATTGGCACAGTTATAATGGACACTTACGTTATCGCCTCATGCACGTATCTTATGTACAAGTTCAACACATACACATACACACATGCTTACGCACCAGTTTGTATTTATTTCTACATGCCAGGACATTTTTGTACACATGTGTATACTTTTTTCACTTATGCTACATTGTACATGCTTATACACATATACGCACAAATGCATACGTGTTTATACAAATACACACATGCATACTTTTAAACATGTATACACTCAGGTGTTGGCGGTATAGAGGCTGAAGCAGTTATGCTGGGTGAGTACATTCGCATAATGTTTCTATGTAAAATTCAACATTTTTTAAGCTAATAATAATAATGTTTTTATTACGATAATCTATCTGTATGTCCAGGAAATAATTTTTATTCAAGTCAAATTAGTTGCATCTGCTTACTTGTTATTGAAATGATGCAAACAGGTCAGACAATCAGCATGGTCTTACCGCCTGTTGTTGGTTACAGAATCATAGGCAAGCTCAGTTCAATGGCCACATCTACTGATCTTGTGCTCACCATCACCAAGGTACTTTTCAACATAATAACAAATGTTTAATTTATTCTTAGTGGATGCATTTCTGTAGATGCTAGGGAAAAAATGTCGTTTAGTTTAAAGATGGCATTGTAAAAGTTTAAAAGATGGTATGCTAGCTTGATGAACAACTCTGCAACGATCATTATCATGATAATCTTCCACACCACCTAACCATCGTTATCTTCATCATCGTTAATTCATCCTTGCCTGCCTGCAACATCAGCATCTAAGGTCAGTGGGTGTCGTTGGAAAGTTCGTTGAATTCTATGGTCCCGGTGTTTCCCAACTGAGCATAGCCGACCGTGCTACAATTTCCAACATGTGCCCTGAATACGGAGCCACTGTAGGATACTTTCCTGTCGACGATGCAAGCTTAAAATATTTGCAACAAACTGGTATGTGTGTGTGTGTTTGTTCGTGTGTGTGCGTGTGTGTCTGTGTGTCTGTATGTGGGCGTTTGTTTGCTCATCTTACGTTCATATTTCTCATCAAAGTGTAAGGTGGTGTATACGAAATCATTAGTAATTAATTGTATGTAAAATACTGAAAGTATGAAATGTGAGTACTTGTTAACACGCAGGTAGGGCAGGGGAGGACGTTGAAGTGATGGCGGAGTACTTCAAGAAGGCTGGACTCTTGAGGGACTATACCGACGCCAGTCACGATCCCATGTATTCCGAAGTGGGTCGTGATGATGAGGATGCTGGCGATTTTGATGGCACTAATAATGAATGGCTACAATACCTACAAGCAAAAAACTTTAATTTATTAAACTGCAATATTATCCCTCACATTTCAGTTGCGATCTAATCCATAGATATACATCTATAATTTACCATATATATATATATATATATATATATATATATATATATATATATATATATATATATATATATATATATATATATATTCACGATTCAATCACGATTGACTGGTTTCCTTTTTTTCAGTTTTAATCAGTTTCATATATATCAGTTTGAATATATATATATATATATATATATATATATATTCACGATTCAATCACGATTGACTGGTTTCCTTTTTTTCAGTTTTAATCAGTTTCATCATCTGTCATCGTCTTAAAATTTTTAACTGGAAAATTTTGAATTTTCCTTTCGTAGCAATTTTGACGTCACAGTTTTATTTATTTATTTTTTTTGTAGGAAACCTGCCATGGCAGACGAATATTAATTGCGGTTGATTATAAAATGATTCAAATTCTTCCTGATCCGCGCCAAGTCTAAATGCTATAGCTCAATTTCTATACTAAAATTCTATGAATGGCATTTATTCATAATATTAATCACTCTTACGTTATGTATATTACTCTATATTACTAATATTAGCCAACTAAATTAAAAAATGAATTTTTAATCATTAATAATGAGGTCGTATTAGTCGTAATGACATTCTTATCATAGCCAGTACCATTCTCGTCGTCATCATCGTTGTCATCATCAGATAGTGGAATTAGATCTTGGCCAGGTTGTTCCCTGTGTTTCAGGTCCCAAAAGGCCCCATGATAAAGTACCTCTGAGTAACATGAAGTTTGACTTCAATCAGTGCCTATCCAATCCGCTCGGTTTCAAGGTAGGATGATGATGATGTTGTTATGATGATGATGGTGATGTTATGATAATGATGATGATGTTTTGATGATGTTATGATGATAGCAAAGATGAGATAGTTTATATTGTTAATTTATTGATAATATTAAATGAGATAAATGAGAGATAATGATCATGCAAATAGTGATGTTAAAGCTAGAATTAATTAATAATAATATTAACTACGTCATTCATATGAATTGCTTTTACACTTACAATTTGAATAACATTAATAACGTCAACATAAATTATGTTAATCTAGGGTTACCAACTGAAGGAGGATCAGATGAACTCCAGAGTGACCTTCACCTTCACAGACGGCCTTCAGTATGAACTCTGCCACGGATCTGTGGTGATTGCTGCCATAACCAGCTGTACGAACACCAGCAATCCATCGGTTATGCTGGGAGCAGGTAGCTTTGGTGGTGATAATGAGGATGGTGATGGGGATTTGGGTGATATTGTTAGTGGTAATAAAGATGTCGGCGATATTGTAAATAAAGGTTGATGAACAAATAACAAGAAAGAGATGCCACCGTATGCTGTGTGTAATGCCTTTATTCACGTCTGCATGTTTGCTGTTGATACAACGAAGAATTCAAAGAAAAAATTCATAAACAAAAATAATTACCATCAAAGGTTTACTGGCTAAGAGGGCTGTTGAGGCAGGCTTGAAGGTGAAGCCCTACATAAAAACCAGTCTCTCCCCCGGCAGTGGGGTTGTCACCTATTACCTCAAGGAATCCGGACTTCTGGAGTACCTCGAGAAGTTGGAGTTAGTAAGGGTAGTGAATGTGTTACGTCTGTTTGTGGTATTAGATGGTGATGATGGTGTAGTTGATGGTACGGTGATGGTAATTACAGGGATGGTAATTTGGAAAAGGTTGAATTTTGTAGTAATTGGTAGCTTCGTGATAAAAAAGTTATAGCTATCAGTTAATGCTATTATTTTTATATTAGTTCAATTAGTATGAGGATATCAATCTATTTTATTATTATTATCATCATCTGTATTGACATCATTGCAAAAATCATAATTTTCGTCGACGTTATTTTAACCCTTACCCTCGTCTTCCTCCTTGCCATTACCAGCTTCAACCTGGTCGGCTACGGTTGCATGACCTGCATAGGAAACAGTGGACCCCTCGACGAATCTCTATCGTCTGCAATTGAGAAGGTTCAGTTAACAAAAACATCACAACATTTATATTGTTTGTGTCGTGTGTGTGTGTGTGTGTGCGCGCGCGCGCGCAAGCAACTGTTATGTGCACAACACATCTTTTAATACGCTCTTTACATATAAACAGAGTGAAATTTCATTAAGACCATCACATGCACAACCGCACATGAACACAGGGTGACCTGGTCGTTGCGGGAGTCTTATCAGGGAATAGAAATTTTGAGGGGCGGATCCACCCAAACACGCGTGCCAACTACCTGGCCTCACCACTCCTTGTGGTCGCCTACGCGCTAGCTGGCACCGTCGCTATTGATTTCGAAATTGAGCCGCTCGGTTAGTAGTGGGTGTGATTAAGATGACGACGATGATGGCGGTGGTGGTGAGGTGTGATGTTGACGATTATCAAAATGTGGTGTGGCGATTTGGGTGAAGTTGAAGTGGAATGAGATGATCATGAAGGTGATGGTGACCAGGAGAAAAATTATGATGCTGGAAGGTTATAAATGTTGACGGTAATGGGAAGGGTGATGATGACCTGACAACGAAGATGATGATGATGTTGGCTGATGATAATGATGATGATGGCGAGATTGTTTATAGGGGAGGAAGATTATGTTTTTGTTTCTCCGAAAAATTTTCAGGAAAGAGAGTTGACGGCACAGACGTCTACCTGAGGGATGTTTGGCCGAGTCGAGACGAGATTGCTGTGAGTTTCTCATGATGGTGATGATGACGGTGACGATGATGATAATGATGTTGATTATTATGATAGTGATGATGATAATGACGGTGATGACAATGATTATGATGGCGGTAGAGATGATAATGACGATGATTGTATTTTGTTGTTGTTGACGATGGTGATGACGACGACGATGATGATGTTGATGATGATTGTAGGAGGTCGAGAAGAATTTCGTTCTGCCGAAAATGTTCAAGGACGTCTACTCCAACATTCAAGTTTGTTGCGCACGAGATGGTGACGACGACGATGACAGTTTTGATGATGGTCGTTAAAGTTGTAATGATGATTATGATGTTTGTTGGTTACGACGGTGATGTATTTAACAATGGTTTAAACAGCGGTGATTATAACTGTTATATTAAATTATGAATCTTCAATCAGTTACACACATAGGACAAAATTAATATGAATAAATCTCTCTCATCATCTTTTTCCTCATACTCGTTAACATTTTTCCACTATCGTTTTATCTACTGAGGATCAACTAAAATGAATGGCTCCTTACTCAACTAATTACAAAATTGTTGAAGTTGAACACCCCTCCGTATGACAGAATGGTAGCACCTACTGGAACAGTCTGCAGGCACCTGAAGGACAGTTGTATCCGTGGGATGAATCGTCAACTTACATAAAGTCACCTCCGTTCTTCCAAACCATGGTTCGAAGCTAATGATCTTGACATTAATCAAGCAGCGTCAATCAGCGTGAATAACTTTCATTGTGGTTTTGTTAGCAACTGGATAATACTCTGTTATATTAGGAATAACGTAATTAAGTGAATTCAAATCTCAACACACGTGGCTACCACACATTTCCACTCGTTGCTACATGCAACCACACTACACATGTTTGCAAATGCAGGAAGCGAGCCTTCCATCATTATCGTCAATAGTTGAAGCACGGGTCCTTCTGAAGTTTGGTGATTCAGTAACGACGGACCACATCTCTCCAGCTGGTAGCATCGCACGGAACAGTCCGGCCGCTAAATATTTGTCTGAAAGGGGGTGGGTTTGTGCTACCTTATGCCCTTTCAGTGTTTTTAATCCTCTCTCCTCCGTTGCAACGTTGAATTCTATAACAAAAGTTGTGATATATTTGTAAGAGTGGTTTAATAACGATGTATGTCGTTTTAAAACAGTCTTCTTTTATGTTTATTTTAAATAGTTTTTTTTTATTTCAGTTTTTACCTTAAAGTGCGTGTTTTTATTTTTTTTTATGTTGCTTCATTTATTTTCTGCAGCTTAAGTCCAAAAGAGTTTAATTCCTATGGGTCCCGACGAGGAAATGACGCAGTGATGTCACGTGGTACGTTTGCTAACATTCGATTGGTCAACAAACTTGTACCCAATCCAGGACCAAAAACACTCTACATGCCTACCAATGAAATTGTGAGTTTTTTTAGTTATATATTTATGAATTCAGAAATTTGTTTACATCCCTTCTAAAAGTATTGAACGATCATCGTTGTCATCATTTCGTAAATATGTAGTCACCCTCACCATAAATGTACAGCACATATAGTCGTCTTACCGGCGTTACATTTGCTACAATCATCGTTATCATCAGCACATCTTTAGCACCATCCTCCACATCCCACACAACACACAGATGGACATATACGAGGCAGCAGAGAGATACAAATCCAGCAACATTCCAGTGATCATCCTAGCGGGCAAGGAGTATGGTAGCGGATCTTCCAGGGATTGGGCGGCAAAAGGTCCAAGTCTTCTGGTTAGCTACTTTAAATTAAATTTCTTTTTTTTTAACTTAAAGTAATCAGGTCAAATTTAGTTTCACTACTTATATCTGTGTGTTTTCTCCACACAACAACAGACACGCATGCAAACATTTTTAGGGCATAAAAGCCGTTATAGCAGAAAGTTACGAACGCATCCATAGAAGCAACTTGGTCGGCATGGGCATCATTCCATTGCAGTTCCTGCCCAACCAGAACGCGGACACACTCAACCTAACTGGACAAGAAACATACACCATCCACATGCCTGACCACTTGCACGCTGGGCACCACGTCACTGTCCAGGTTGTTTCATCTTTATACTTGTTCTTTTACGTACATTGGCTGAAGTTTTCCGTAAATTTACTGAATTTATTTAACCTTTTCCTCGATTATTAGACAAACACATGTACGAGCAATCTTAACACACTGTACGAAGGGTTTATCTTATTAAACAATTAATTTGTCAGCTACAAGACGGCAGAACATTCGAAGCCATAGCGCGCTTCGACACAGAAGTTGAACTAGTGTACTACAGGAACGGTGGCATCCTCAACTACATGGTCAGGCGCATGTTGTAGCCTTCCCTTTTGTCCGCGAAAGCACCAACAATTTGTTCTCGATACATAACATTTGTTTTGTTTTTGTGTTAAACGTTTAAAATTTTGTTAATTTATGTTAATAGTTGTTTTAACTGTGATAAAATCGCACGCTTGTTTGTTAATAGTGGAATATGTTTGGTAGCGCGGTCGTGTTCGTTTCTCAACTTTGGTTTGGTTTTATATAAAATTATTTGGTTGAATTATTATAATATATTATTATACTATAATTAGAATTATTTCTCCATGGCATGTAAATTGTAATAATTATAATTCTAATGAAGCATAAGTTTAGTTAGATAGCGTCGAAAATGAAGATGCCAGCTTCTTACGAAAGTTTTGTCACCATTTTATTTTCATTTAAATAAGTGAATGATTGAATTTACAACTGGGCTTCATAGAAACGTATTAAACTGAAAACCACCAACCCACATCACATTCTGCTTGTGTGGCGTACAATCTCTTTGAAACTGTTCATATTATTATGTGCACACAAAAACATACATTCACGTACAAAATAATCTAAAATTACGTGTGTAACTTGAATAGAATAATTCTTCTAACATTGTAAAAAATAGGATAAAATTTAATTTTAAATCATTTACTCGTCGACTTGTGGCAGCCAGAATGCCTGCAAAGAATGTTATTTATCTTTTCTATTAATTCGTAAAAATCATGGAAAAAAGATATAAAATAAATAACGGTTAATAAACGAATAGATCACTATTGGAAATAAAATGCGAAAGGTCGCCTACCATATTGGAGCATGCGCTGGCCATCATCATAAACTTAGGGTTGAACTGGACACATTGCACCGGAAGTTTGTGTTCACTATTCAGTACAACCACCTGTAGTCGGCGTATGTTTGCGGTTGTATGTGTGTGGTAATGTATCGTATGCCCGTGCGTATCTATTCGTATCTATACGTATGTCGGTGTACATGTATACGAATGTGTGGCGAAGAAAAAGTCATGTCATGTACATGTGTAGTTATTTAGATAAATATATATATATATAAATAAGCCGTGATGGTGACATTGATGTTAAATAATAATGTGACATGAAGAATGATAGATGATTATGACGATGGTGAAGTCACGGTCATATTATAGTAAGATGGTTGTTAATAAGATCGTCGTCATCACCTTGGTGCCTGTCTCGGTGTTCCAGCAGTGAATCTTGCCATCGGTAGAGCCTTCAGTCAATAAAGTTCATTCAATTAATCAATTAACAACAGGTAGCCAGGTAGTAATTCTTACTAAAACTAAATGGATACATGTACAACTGTTTAATGGAAAATACATTAATTAATGAGAGATTTACGTGGGTAAATCTTAAAATCTAACTAACCACTGAAGACAAATTGTGAATCTGGGCTAAATGATGCTTCTAATGGCAAACCCTTGTTATTCAGTTGGCCCTTCAAAATATTTGTTAGGTGAGGTGGTTTGTCTTCAAAATAACTTGTTTTGAACAATTAAAAATGTTTAAACAACTTCAATCAATCAAGACTTTTGCATTGATCTTCAAAAATGTAAAATCATATTTATAAGCATATAATTAGCAAACTGCAAAAGTCTAGACTAAACTGACATGAAAAATGATATTGCAATTGGAACCCAAATCATTGCTCAGAATGGCTAATAAAAATTTTAAACTGACATACCATCACAAATGCTTACAATAATAAATTACAATAGAAAAACTATTAATGAAAACTATTAATGAAAAGTTAAAAGCTGTTAACAGTGTAGGTCTGTATGGGAGTGCCCTGGAAAGCATCAATCAAACGAATGACCTGTCCATTGGTGGAAATGAGAATCAGTTTGCCGTCGGGGCTGAACTTCATCCCAGTCCAATCACAGTCCTTGTCTTGTTGCATGCGAAACGTTGCAAATGGTCCCTGCAACCAATGGAAGGGAGAGGAATTATTTATTTTCAATCAGTTCAACATCAACTACAATTCATAAATTATGAGTCTTCCATTAAGTTTAAACCGATGTTTTGAAATAATAAAGTAATGTATGCTAAAAGCAACAGTGTGTTTGACACTGAACCTTATCAAAGGAGCGTAGGTCATAAAGTTTCAAACTTTCTGAAGCAATGCCAGCAGCAAAGATCAGTCCTTCAGGATCAAAGGCAGCCACTGGTCGACCAGGAAGATTCATCAAACCCTGCATGTCCAATGAAATAAAAGAACCATTAAGATTGGATCATTGAATCAAATGATGAAAATTAAGATGGTTCATTAAGAAACTCAGTTAATGCTAATCAACGAAATTAGAACCACAAACAAAAGAAAAACAAGTTGAACCTGACAGCTTGGAGATCTGAGATCCCAGAGTCGAATTGATTTGTCCAACGACCCCGACAAGAATGTGTCATCGATTGGTGACATACAGAGAGTTACTACTCTGTCAACACATTAGCACGTAGAATATTGATATTATTGATTAATCATTATGTAATTAATCAATTAATAATTATTAATGAAAATAGTTATACATTCAAATAACTTTTGTTATCTTTCAACTCTCAGTAACATTTTTATAATGAGGATTACTTCTTACTTTTTTGAATGGCCTTGAAAGTATCTTATGTACTTGTTGTCATGAAGTGATAAATATCTGATTGTGTCTGCAAAAAAATTTTCATAAAACTGAATTTTAGAAATGTTGAAAATAAAACTGCAGAAAGAATTCAACAAATTTTACCTAAATAAATCATAGTTTGATTAAGCATAGACTTTTAAAATAAACTAAAATTTTTTTTGACTAACATCACTGCTTTTTGAGTTATACACTTTTCAGCTCCTTTTATTTTTGTCATTAGAAAACATCAAACCCCAGTTAATAAAACCATTTAATTAAGTAAATAAAACTGACAGGCCAGAAAACTTATTAAAAGAATAATCATATGAATGGGATATAAATAAAGCATTGGTTAAGTTTTTGAACACAGTGTTATAGTTATATGCCTGGTTTGATTCAAACAAACAAACTCAAATAGAAACTACACTAGGTTATAATAATAATTTAGTCAAAAAACTTAATAGTTTTATTATATATTATATCCAACTCATACAATTAATAAGTTTTCTGATATATTGTAAAACTTTACTTGAAGAAAAAGTAATAATTAATTAAAAATTACCATCAACTTTGGTGGAGCTGTGTATAGCTGTGTTAGTGGCGTGAGTGTATCTAATCAAGTCGACCCCATATTTCTTGCTGTTTAATGTCCTCTTTGGCCTGCAAACAATTTTAGTTTCCATGGGATACGTTGGCGCTTTAATTTCTTAATTAGTTGAAGTAAAATTTACTCACGTTCCATTCTGGCAGTCGTATATTATAATAGAGTCGTCGTCACTACTTGAAATCAGTGTTTCTCCAGTTGTGGAAAAGTCCATGCTGTTAATTCGGTCGGAATTTTCGCGAAAAATTTTCGCGACAACAAAATTCCTCACAACTTGCTCTGTTAACTTCATTTTAACTGTTAAATGTTACTTAAAACTACTTCTTGAAACAACAAATATATTTGATACCAAAAACCAACATACCGCAAAGACGGGCAAGCGATACTTATAACGAAATGTTGATTGCTTTAGCAACGAAACTTCAGCAACGATTAATAATGCTGTTGTAGTGATAGACCTGATATATAATGATATTCTAATTATATGTGATAGACTAAAGAACAATTAAAAAGTTGGGCGCATCAAATCGCCGTGCTAGCGAACATTGTATCAATCAATCAATCAATCAATCAATTAGCCTATAAAGCGCTATTTTTGCGATGTTCAACAGCGCTCCTCAATGAATTTTGCAAACAGATGGGTCTTGAGATCCGCTCGGAACTTCGTAAGTGATCGAGAAGTAATCAAAGAAGGAGGTAGAGAGTTCCATCATTATAATATTTTAAACTGATTTTTGCATCATCGTAGTTTTCTATATACTTGAAAAAAAAATTTGCATTATAAGCATAACTGGAGACAAAAGCGGCATTAACCCATTCATTTTATGTTATGAGGAGGAAGCAAAAAGGATTGCGTCATCTTCCAATTGGGTTTATTGCATGGATATATTATATATATCCATGGTTTATTGATTGTGTGTGGTTGTGTTGTATAATAACGCGAACACCCTCAGATCGTTAAGTTGAAGTTTTATACAATATTTTTATGCTCTAGGTAGACTAAACCTTTATGTGAATCTAAATTAAAGAGTAGAACTTAAAAAATAGGTGTTTGTTTAAAGCTGGCCTTTTCGCATTCATGGGAAGTTTCTTCGTCTATGTTCATATCTATTCTACATATATGTCTCTACCAGATTACATATTAACAAAATAAAACATAAAGCTGTTTTGACTTTTACTGATGCTGGTCAAGTTTTCGTAGCACTCCATTACTTAATTTAATGGCTATATATATGGAATGGCTAGCGCTCGTAGCTATTCGCTTTTCTAGCGCTAGTCATTAGAACGGTACTTTTTGACACCTTAATGTACATTAAATTAATAGCAAAATGAAACATTGAATCTAATTTAAAGAGTGTTAACGTTGTTTTGATCTGGCCGACGGATTTCTTTCTGTTATTCGCGTCATTCAGTGGTAGTCGAACGTAAAAAACTAATAATATATCGCTCAAAAATGTATTCCTAATACATTTTAAATACTGGTAATTAAACTTTTTGTTTTTTTTTTAATTTTTAAAAATGGCTGCTCAGTTCAGGAGCACTTCATGGGACCCAATACTCATCATCTCCCAAATCATCACCATGCAATGTATTTTTTACTTTGGATTTGGTTTCTGTACATTATTCGTTGATTTAGTAACCGGATCACTACACTCTCTTGACCAAATGTTTTCCTATCAGGCTGGTTGCTTTTGCTTTCTAATTGATTCATCAAATAAATAAAATAATAAATAAATGAATTAATCATCATGAATGATTGAATGGGACCAATGGATCCGTTTTTTAATCTATCTCTAAAATTTAAAAAAATAATTTTGAAGTTTTTTTTCTCTTTGTTTCATATCAAGTCAATCAACAAATTTAATTTATTGTTTCAATAATAATATTATAATATTACATTAAATCAATATCAGAATATTTAGAACAACTCAGTCATGAAATGAAATTTCAATAGGATTGAAGAAAGTAAGTAACCAATCATTTATTTATGAGTTAAAGAGGGAAGGTGTGGTATTTGTATTTTGAAAAAATGTAGTCCATTTTAGTGGATAATATTAAAAGGAGACTAGAGAGAATTGAAATTTGTAATGTATTTGTGCTAAAAAAGAAAAGAAAAAAGTTTTGGCGATGTGCTGACAGGATAAGTTAAGATGGTTCAACCACGTTAATCGAAAAAGATTTGATTACAATTTTGTAGAATTATGAAAACAGAAGGTAAAAAAACTAAACGAGTATTGACTTTTTGAGCTGAAGGAAGAAGCCTAAAATTCAGGCTAAATGGCTTGAGTTAGCTTGAGTTAAATATTAATTTTGCTATAGTTAAAAAGTTCTGTAAACAAAATCAGTTTGGCTGTATATTTTTAGTTAAGATTTGCTATCACATAATTATTATAAAACGGAAAACTATAATATAAACTTAACTACAATCCTAACTGTTACAATATATTTATTTATCTTCTGTTCGAATAAATGATAATTTGTGTTTGTTATTTAAATTAAAGAAATTCAATATTTTTATAACTTATTTAAATTTTAATAAACATAAAACCATTTTCCTAATAACAATTCAATTTTTAAAAGATGCTAAACTTCCGAGATGTGCGAGGAGAACTCTTGATTGCGGCCACATTCTTAAATTCATTAATCGGGTCAGCCATCATTTTGTCTTATACATGTTAATAACAAGTTTCCTCAAAAATTAAATTAATTGCAATGTTAATATTTGTAATTAAATAATAATTGATGTGAAATAATACATACTGAACCGTAATATTGAATTGCAGGAGTTTGGGCTTGTGGTATGTCATTCAGCGAACAAAATTATGTTGGGATTTCACAGCCACTGTATACATTCTACACGTAATAATATGCTGGTCTGTTAACAAATACCTATCCACCTCCATATTCTGGTGGTTGCTGACCTGTATGAATGCCATTGTTATGACTGTCTTAGGGGAATATCTCTGCATGAAAACTGAATTAAAAGCCATACCACTCGTTGGTACAAAAGTCGATTTATGATGATCTATATAATAATCCAATTTAGGTGTTAATAAAATTTTTATTTAAAGGAAAAAATTCAACATCAACTATTTTGTTTTTTTTCAATGTTTGACTTTTTGTACATAGAACACTTGTTTATTTGTCATGTTAATATATTTTTTAATAAAAAAAAATATTTTGTTGATTCGGTCTTCTAATGTGTTATTGAGTTGTAATCATCAAAATGCGTCTAGATCTAATTCTGTTTCGTGCCAGAACTCCGCTAACGATTTAGCCTTCCAGTCGTCCGTCTGTGAAGTGTTAGGGAAACGTTCCGTCGCAACCGCAATGTGCGTAGCGTGTTCGTTTTCTGCGTCGTTTCCACATTTTAATTTGCTGGTCGTTCTGGATGAATTTGTTGGATTGTTCGATTGTTTCTCACTGTCTAAGGACTTGTCAAGTTTGGATTGGCGTGAGGAGTTGAGGTTATCTGCTTGGCACGCATCTTCGTGCCGTGGTATTCTCGAAGGTTTTAATTCGTCGTTATCGTGTGAACTGTTGTCGTTGCAATAAAAGTTTTGAAACTTCTTTAAAAACTTTTTCTTAGTCCTGAATTCTGAGCATCTTTCGGTAGAGGCCCTCCCAGAACGAATCGCATCGTCGTCGTCGTCTTCATTAAATATACTTGATAATTTTGTAGTATTTAGTTTTAAATTGTTATTGCTAATATTTTCAACAGAATCTCTGAACAATGGTTTCAGAGAGCCTCGTCGCCCGTTGTTAATCTTCAACAACTCGTCATCATCCACGTTATCGTTCAAAACGTTGCCGTCCACGTTGATCTCACTAAGTCTTGTTTGCATATTTAGCGGATTGAGTTTGAAGCCTTTCATTGATGTTCTGCTGCTATCTTTTGATTTCTTTTTTTGGTTGGATTGGTTCAGCTTTCTAGGTGATACGCAGTGAGATTTTGGTTTTGAATCTGAACCACTGAGCGCTAGTTTTGAATCCGAATCGTTGACAGATAGAGGCGGGAGAGAAACTTTACGCAAGTTTGGTCTTAAGGGGAGAAAGTGTTGGTACTGGTCTGATAAGGAGAGTTCGTCGTGGATGCTGGATTTCCTACCGTTCCAGAGGCTGCATCTGTTTTCGGTTATCAAATTTTTGTTTTTAATGTGAATTAAATTAATTTCTAAATATATTTTGAAGATAATATTAATGACGGCTATTCAATAAAATTGGTGTGGCCATTATTTTATGTCTAAAGATGTTTTGACAAAAGTTAAAAAATTCAACTTGAAGCCATGCTTATAGTCAGTAAAATGATGAAATAATTTAAATGCACAGCGGCCCTGTTTGGTTGCGGTCTAGCTGTGTATTGTTGTTTGATTGCTTTTTGTTGTCTTTTAATGCTATTTTGATATGGGCGGGAATATATAACTTACGTTTAAGCCCATTATTTATTTATATTTATTTATATTTGCGTACTCCAGAGCAATTCCTTGAGTTATTACACATACGTATATAAAATTTGTACGCACATCGATTGATATGCACAATTTATGGAGGTTCGTTGTGACGATTGTTATTATGCAAGGAGACAGCTCACTACAGCGCAATTGTATGTAACCATGTAGTGTATAGATCTTCATGCAAGCAGTTTTACATTTATTTATCAATAAAAAAACACTACCAAGTAAAATAAGAAGCTCTGTTGAAAATTTTTTATAAAACCATTTCACAAACATTCAACCGAATTGAATACCTTTCGGTTAAATTTCGTTTGATTTGAGCTAAGTCTGCAAATAAGTCGCAATTGAGTTTGTTGAGTTCAAGGAGAGGGTGATCAGAGTTGTAGGAGTTTGCGTGCGTTGTGTTCCTATCAACGACACGTTGGGATTTGTTCTTCCCACTTGGTCCCTTGTCTGAAAAGGATCTCGAATGGTGCTCTTTCTCAAAATTTTTAGCACCTTTTTTCAAACTTCTGTTTCGCGTATTGTTGTCGTGGTCTGTACGGTTTCAGGAAAAATGAAAAGAGTTACGGTAACGTTTTTAATGAAAATACACATTAATAGTAATAAAAATTAATCATATTAATAAATATTAATAATAATCAATCTAGATAATGTAACCTGTAACATGGACGTTTAGCGGGATGACATCTTGTGAAATTGTTTTGTTTTGATGCTGCTGAAAATGTTGCTGCTGCTGCTGCTGCAAAAGTTGTTCCTGATTGTAATAATGTTCTTGATGTTTGAGATGTTGTTGATGATGTTGACCTTGTTGGTGAAACTTAGCATCATTATTTTGGCACGTGTTGGATGCGGTGTGAGATGAAGCTGATTTGTGAAATCCATTGTCGCCATCATCGTTGTCGTCATTACCATCACTGTCTCTCACTTCAATCACAAATTCTTCTTCAATCGCTGCGCTTCTATTCAATCTATTCCCAAAGTTAGCGTGAGATTTTGACTTGTGCAGCTGGCCATTCAAAAAATTTTCGCCTTTCTTTGATTTTCGCTTCGATAATTTGAGCTCCTCTAGTAATTCGACGGCCCTGGATTTGTTGAATGCTTCGATCTCTTCATCCAAGCTATCCCACTCGTCCTCGCTGCTTCCTTCATCGTCGTCATCGTCGTCAACATTTTTGTTGTTGTCATTGTTGCAGCATTGTTCTCGTTCTCTCTTCAAGTCATCGACTGCAGTGCAGTTTCTGAAATCAAGTTCGGTGCGATAATAATTACTCTCGTTATTGGAACTGCTGCTGTTATGTTTATCGCTGTAAATATCGGTGACGGTATTGTTTCTTTTTCTGGCACTGACCCAAGCTGATCGAGGTCGTTTGTATAGGAGGTCAGTGCAAGCTGTTGTTGTTGCAGCTGTGGTTACTGTTTTTGTTGATGATGTTGTCGCTGGTATGGTCTCTGTTGCTGATGTTGTTGTTGTTATAACCGTTGCTGCTCTTGATTTTGCCACCCGTGGGATTGTTGATGTTGTGGTCTTTGATGTTGTTTTTGTTGTTGTTGTTTTTGTAGTTGTCATAAATCTTGCTGTTGGTGTTGATGTTGTCGTTGACAATGGTGATGACGTTGATGTTGTTTTTGTTGATGTAGTTGCAATTGATGTTGCTTTCGCTTTCTCAACTTCCATATCATTTCTTATATTTCAAATGTTTCAATGCTTCTATCAGTTCTGTTGTTGTTGATATAATTAATTATTATTTTATCTTTGTTGTTAATGTCTTTGTTGTTGTTGCTTTTTTGATCGTCAGAATCCTGTTAAAATGATCTATTGCTTGTTACAGTAGTATTTTTTTAAGTGTGGAAAATTTACATTAAACTTTTTTCTATCTAAATTAACATCAACCTATCAATGTGCTTTAAAGCCTCAACCCAGATATGTACGTAATTTTAGAATGATAATTTATTACACTATTTATCAGTTGATTGCTGTACATTATACCATTTTATTATATTTCAAAACACATCTCAAAGTTTAATTTCACTTTTAAACTAAAACAAACATACAAAAATTATTCTACCCTCTTGAGAAATTAATTACTGAAATGAAAATGGACAGCCAGTCCAAAGACGGTACTGCGGTACAGCCCAACTAAATGGCAAACGATCATTTCTCTCTTATTTCTTCCCTATGAAAGACAAAAATGTTATTCGAAAGAAAAAAAACACACCAACACAAACATAAAAGTATATATTTTTATAATTCTGTGCATTTATTTCACGTATATATTTATGTCATGAATATGCATGTACGTATATACGTATGAATATTCTATATAACACTCACACACACACGCACACACACATACACGTGTGTGTATGTATATATATATATATATATATATATATATATATATATATAATGTATAATTAATGCAGGCGTGCTTTTCGATACAAAGTTAATCTGAACATTAGATGAGAAATATATATATTTGTGTGTGTGTGTTTTGCGTTTGTGTGTAAGTGTTTTGCGTGTGCGTGTGTGTTTGAGTGTATTTAACGCGTATGTTTGCGTATGTTCGATTATGTACGCAAACAAGTTTGTACACGAAAAAGTCATTATGGATATACGTATGTATGATTGCGTTTCCGTATAAATATAAGAATGATAATACGTGTGTATGTATGTCTATATAAGTGTATGTATGTATGAATGTATGTAAATATGTGTGTATGCATGCATGCATGCATACATACATATTTGTATGTATGTATATATGTATTATTATTACAAGTCAATTTGTAGAGCGCTAACTACAAAAAAAGATCTCAAAAGCACTCCCTAAATAAATGAACAAACAAAACATTAGTCAATCGAAGACAAAGACATTGTTAAATTGGCAAAAAAATGACTTTTCAGCTCCTTTTTAAACAAAAACAATGATAGATCTGATCTTCTTAGAAACGCCGGTAAACTGTTCCAAACCACCGGAAGCAATGCAGTTTCAGTTGAATGGTAGCATCAGTAGGCCGATTGGTTAAGTGGCATTAAATTGTTTGTCGTTAGATAATTCATCAGGAAATCAAGAACAACACGCTCCAAAACCTTTGAAACAAAGGAAAAGTTTGATACTGGTCTGTAATTACTCTCCTCATTTGCATCTGAGTTTGCTTTTTTCAAAATCGGTTGAATTATCGTGTGCTTACAGTTAGAAGGAAATTTACCAACGCGTAAACAAAGGTTTAAAAAACTCGTCAGAAAACAGACAAACGAGTCCAAGTATCTTTTAAAGATATGCGTAGGGATTATGTCCAAACTGCACGATGTATGTATGTATGTATGTATGTATGTATGTATGTATGTATGTATGTATGTATGTATGTATGTATGTATGTATGCATGTATGTATGTATGTATGTATGTATGTATGTATGTATGTATGTACGTATGTATGCACATTGTATGAATAATGCGTCACATTGAGTGCACATGCTTTGCCGTCACTTGCATGAAGACAATAGAAGTCGTAAATTATGCCGTTGTAGGTTGACGACTATGATTCTGTTGATTATTATGATGAAAATGACCATGATGACGATAATGAAAATGTTAATAATGACAATGATAAAGATGGTAACGACGAAAATGATGATGGGGAAGATGGTGATGAAGAAAGAGATAATAACGATGAGGATGAAGAAGAAAAAAGTAGAAGGAGGAATAGAAATAGAGTCGATAAAGTAGGTTAGGATGATAACGAGTGAGTGAATTATGATGACAAAGGAGAAGACAACAAATTAGGTGACTATTATTGATGAAAAAAATGCTGACGAAGACGACGACGCCAATGGCAACCTTGACGAAAATGTTAGATGATATTTGGAGCAGGCGTCTTTTTATGATTAGTGACAATGACGACGTCAACCACACGTCATTTTCCGTGACTAACAAAACATTTTCTCCTCTTTCTCTTCTGTATCCATGCAGACTTCATACTTCCGTACCAACACTCTAATAAACGTGAACATGGAAACACATGTGTACTTATAAAGACACACATAAACATACCACACACTTTCATACACACAATCGCACTAACATGCACAAACACAGACATACACACAGACAAACATACACAAATATACACAAGTACAAACATGCACACGCATTTTATATATTCATAAACGAGCGTGCGTGAGCGTGCCTATATGAATCTCTCTAACACTCTCAAACGCCAACGAATGTAGAGGATTTAATGAGAAAACAATTGTGGATATCTCCAGTTTTCCATATAATCATCAAACCAGGTCACTTCATTCATCATATGACGTCATGAAAAATTTCTTTCAAATACTCTGCGTCACTGCGTGTGTGTGTGTGCGTGTGTGTGTGTGTGTGTGTGTGAAGGTCTCATTCGAAATTTTTTAGAAATACCTGCAACTTGTCATATCAACACTTCGATGTTCGTCACAGAATTATTGAAGGTTAACGATACATGTATGTGTGTGTATGTATATATATATATATATATATATAATATACATATAAATATATAGATAAGTTATTACTATTTGTATAAATTTTTGTATAAATTTATATAATTAGATATATGATGTGGGGTATAATATGGTTATTACGTAGCAGAACCTGGCAAGCCATATGTATGAGAAACAAAACGAACACACCTAGTAAAACTGCGGCAAGCAGGAAAATATCCTTTTCAATATTTCTTTTTCATTCTTATAATGATATAATCCATGATGTAAATTTTTTTTGGGAACTGAGAAATATGGTCTAACCGTTTTGGAACAGCAATTCCGAATTTGGTTACAACGTTGATACTGATACTGATAGCAAGGACCATCAAATATTTTCCGACATTTTCAGACATTGCTTTTTTTTCTTTGACACAACGCAGAGTCAACATATGCGCTTTAAAATAATTCCAACAATTTTACAAAAAAAAAATCATTTTAGATAAATTATTCTTGATCAAAAAATTTAATGAAATAATTTACAAATTAATTTTACAAATATTAGCACCTTACCACTAACATAATAAAGAAGCGGCTTTAGAAACGTTACCTAAACTACAACAATGTTACACATACGATACTGCCAACTAACCAACCAATCGTAGCTTCATTTTTAATAGCACCCTCATAACCACTTATTCATACATGAAATTTATTTGCCGGTCGGCAAACGTATTTTCGATTATCCAAATTCAAGATTCATTTGAATAAGCTTCTTTTGATAAATCATACCCTTGTGTTAAAAATGTTGCAATTAATTCATTACTCTTGCTAAAATTTAAACTCGGTTATTTGACTAAAATTACAATACAATAAGTGTTGCAACACATTTAGCAAAATTAAATTAACTGCTTATACACAAACATTTAATTTATACATACCATTAATTCTGAATATAATTGCGTAAAAACTGACTTGCGTGTGACCTAGATAAATTAATTTATGTTCAAATGAAAAATGACCTAGTTAAATATATTTGAGGCGATAGAACATCATTGACCTACATTAGCTGCTTAGTCACGGGCGTTAACAGTGCTTATCAAATGTTAAAATATTGCGGTGAAATTTGATACCTGACATTTACAAAAACAACAACAGCAGCAGCATAAACAACAGCAGCAACACAACAACAACAGCAGCAACACAACAACAACAGCAGCAACAACAGCAGCAACAACACAACAACGACAACAGTAACATCAGCAACAACAACACTCAACAGCAGCAACAGCATCTTAAACAACACAACAGCAGCAGCAGCAACAACTACAACAACAGCCTACCTGCTTCAACTTTCCACAATACCACAACACAACATCGCCTTTATGACCCCCTCTGTAAATCATCTCCCTTCCTAAGGCTCTACTGTTTGAAGTGTGTCAAAACAACTTTGGCGCCAAAAGTACGCCATACTGAAGACCACACGCACGCACATACACACACAAACAAACACGCGCGTACATACTCACACACAAAACACGGTACAATTAAATTCATTTAGAATCTATTACACAATACATATACAATTCAAGAACAATGGGAAAAATGTATATAACATAGTTTCTTGATGTAAGTGCACACGTGTGCGATCTATATTTAGGAATAAGCATCTATTTATAAACAGACAAAGGAGAATGAGTGATTCACTGAATTATTAAGTTGGCAGATTATAGGCAATGGCCCCAGGACCAGGGATGTGCTGAAATGATTTCATGGCGGAGGTATTTAATAATTAATAAATGTATTGAGTGTGCTCGTTATTTATGTTATCATTTCATTTGATATTCAGCAGATCGGCTTGCCATCGAAATAGTTTATTAATTCTTTTGTCCTTATTTTTCAAGTTGTGTCGTATCATTCACATCTATTCGTGTTACTGCTACTATTATCATCATCATCCTCACCACCCTCATCATCATCATCGTCCTCGTCATCCTCGTCACCATCATGGTCGTCGTCATGGTCGTCATATTCGTCAGTCAGTCCTTCATGAAAAATTTTAAAACTTTCTGTTGGAACCTCGAAGAAGCAAGATAAAAAAATGGAAAATGAATTGATGCATGCAGCAATGCAAGTGCGCAGTAAAGTTGGGAAAGAAAGAAAGTTAAGACATTGACACATGATTTGTTTTGTTTGCTGCGTAGTAGCCTACTGCATACTCCGGGCTCTCACCTTTGTGTAGGGAAATTTGGAAAGCTATGAATTACGAATCCATTGAAAGTGTATTTTATGAGTAATCCATTATAACAGCTCTATCTTGAGAAGTGATGTTCTAATGATTTTGGCGACTGGTCCTGCTGTTGCAGTAACCGGTTTCAAATGCAAATAGATCCTCGCATTGTGTGAAGCCATGATTCACGCCTATTCATGGCAAAAAAGAAAATAACTTGCACGGGCTGTGTTCAACGGCGAAATTTTTTTAAAATTTACGTTTTTCAACTTAGATATTTATATTTCTAATAGTACTTGCTATTGAAAGTAATTAATTCGAATTACAATGGTATGGAATCATTCGAATCGATATCTAAGTTTGCTGGCGAAAAGACATTAAAAGTAGTAAAAAGTAATGTGGCACAAATAATAGTTTTTAGGAAAATCATCAAATCCGCAATTTTTTATTCATGAAGAAGCGTAAGAACTTTAATAAAATTTCAATCTAATCAACATAATCAACTATAAAATTATAACTGATGAAACTTGACAACATTACTAATGCCAATTCATCACACGGCGAGGACATAGGGCCGTCGGTAGGATGTTCAACCGGCAAGCCAGCGCGCCGCTAGTTGGTGCTCTGGAAGTAAGCCGACGCGTCCCCGCAGCCAATTCGTCGCGCCGTCACCAGTGGTCCATTTGCTGCGAAGCCAGCAATCTACCAATGGATAACGTGCAAGGGTTTAAATTTAAAACTTTGCCTAATAAAGCTAGCTCGGGAATTTTTGCCTGTGTCGAAAAATCGTTTTTTTTCATTTTATTTATACATTTTTTCTCAAATAACTTGAAAAAAATTTGTTGATCATAATTCGACACCTTCATTTATCTTTATTGTTGTCTGCCCCTATAAATTTGGCCATCCACGTGCGGTGCCCCATTTTGTCACCCCCGCTCGGCCCTGTGTAGTAGTCTTAATAGTAGTACAACAACCAAAATAATAATAAGAAATAACAAAATTATTACAGTTTTGATAATAGTAATAATAATAACTCGAAATTGTACTAAAACAACATGGATGAACAATGCCGTGGGGACAATTTCATCGACTTTTATATTTTTCTATCAATTGGTTGGAGTGGGAGGACAAATTAAATGAAATTGCCATCGACCTATCTAATGGACAGGAAAATAGGAATAATAATTAATAAATAGAAATAATAATAATAAAATAATAATTATTATTATTAAAATGAAGATAATGATTGTGTGACAATAATTGTAAACATAATTTTTGTTTATGGTAATAATAACAGTCATAATAATAGAAGCATTAATAATGATGATAATCATCGTGATAATGATAATAAAAATATAATAATAATAATATTACTATTATTAGTGTTATAATAATAATAATTATTATTATTATTATTATCAATGTTGTTGTTATTGTGTTGTAACGATCGGAAAGCGAGCGTATTACAAGCAAATGCCTTGGTCGTCATGACCACCACATCAAAAACAATGTTCATTTCACTTTACATCATACACATGTATGTATGTATGTATGTATGTATGTATGTATGTATGTATGTATGTATGTATGTATGTATGTATGTATGTATGTATGTATGTATGTATGTATGTATGTATGTATGTATGTATGCATGCGTGTGTGAGTGTTTGTTTGTATGTGTGTTTGTTTCTGTATAAGTACCTATGTGTTTGTATGTGTATGTGTGTGTTGTGTATTCGTGAATAATGTGTTGAAATTGCACTCCATTACGAAATTCGTTTAAGTATCTCGTAGTAGTTGTAATTAGGGTGCTAGCAACACTATTACTATTTCTACTACAAATACTATTGATAGTTGTAGTATCTGAAGTAACGCTAGCTGCTTC